TTTCCCCGCTCAGCACGCCGGGAGGCCTGCCCTGGCTGGAGAAGACTGGTGGGGGCTGACATTGGGTTTGAAGGCAGCCAGCCCAGGAATGCTATTTATTGAATATTTATTGTTGGGATGTCACCATCAGAGAGGAGAAGGGTGACAAGGGAGGGGGTCCTACCCAGCCCGCCTGCAGAAGAGCTGGCTCAGGCTACTGTGGGCAGGGACCCCCACCAAGCTGAGCCTAATGGAGCCAGCCAGCTGAGGCCTGACTTTTTTCAATAAAACATTGTGTACTTCTGGGCCTCCTGCTGCCCAGGCTCTGTTTCCCCTGGCGCCAAAGGAAGAAGGCGGAACTGAACCCAGGCCCAGAGCCGGCTCCAGCTCCAAGGCTGTGCCCCTTTCCCGAAATCTCTGGCCATCCCCATTGGCCAGACTGTCCCTCCCACTGGCCCCGGGGCCCCTCCCACCCCCATCCAGATAAGGCCAGCCCAAGACTGCTTCACTAGGCAATAGGCACTAGGGCTGGAATGGGGCCGCCTGGCTCCCCATGGCAGTGGGTGCTGCTGCTGCTGGGGCTGCTGATCCCCCCTGCCACCCCCTTCTGGCTCCTCAATGTGCTGTTTCCCCCGCAAAACACGCCCAAGGCTGAGCTCAGTAACCACACACGGCCCGTCATCCTCGGTAAGCCCCCACCAGGCCCCTGATGTGCCAGGCCAGACCTTGGGGAGCTTGGGCCCCAGCCCCTGGTAGTCACCCCTGCCAAGGCCCTTCTGTCCCTGAATTAGCCCTGATACCTGCTTCAGTGTTCAGAGGGGCCAGAGGCTTGTCCTGCAGAGAAGTCATCCCTTTCCCTCACCACACTGTTCCTCCGTCTCTAAGTTAGTGGGTGGGGGTGGTGAGGGGGTGGTCAGGGGGCGGGGGCTGGTGTGTGTGCCTGAGGGCTTGGTCCGAGCATTATAGGCTGTGGTCAGCTGCAGCCACTGGACCCTGGTCCAAGCCCTACTACTCCTTCCTCAGCCCCCACCCAGCAAGGACAAGATGCTCAGCTCAGGGGAGCAGGAGAGGCCCATCAAGGCCTGCCCCCTGCTCCTAGACCCAGCCCCCACCCCACCCTCCTAAACCTATTTGTTCCCTTGTTCCCACCTTGGACTTCGGCAGTAACGGGGAGACAGGCTAAGTGTTTGCTTTGGGAGGGCGGAGGTCAGTGGCCTTGGCCTCTGCACTTTTCCTGCCTGAGGGGAGCCTAGCTTTGCACTGCTGGGCAGGCAAGCGGGGTGGGTCCTCAGTCTGGGGGTTGAGGGTGTGGGAGTTGAAGGCTGGTCAGTGCAGTGGTGGGGGGTGGCTGTTAGGCTGGGGTGGGGGTCCCTGGGGAAACCCGAGGAACCCAGAGTGAAGGCTAGTGCTCACAGTGCCTGGCTGCATGGGGAATCAGCTGGAAGCCAAGCTGGATAAGCCAGATGTGGTGAACTGGATGTGCTACCACAAAACAGAGGATTTCTTCACCATCTGGATGGATTTTAATATGTTCCTACCCCTTGGGGTAGACTGCTGGATCGATAACACCAGGTACGTGCCATCCCCTTGGCCCCAGCTCCCTCACCCTGCCCCTGCCACTGGTTTCTGGCCAGCTGAATGTCCCACTGCCCCCAGGGTTGTTTACAACCGAAGCTCTGGGCGTTTGTCCAATGCCCCTGGTGTACAGATCCGTGTCCCCGGCTTTGGCAAGACCCACTCTGTTGAGTACCTGGACAAAAACAAGCTGGCAGGTGTGTATACTGGGGGAAAGGTGGGGCTCTGGACTGTGGGGGCCTGCAGGAGCCATGGCCAGAGCCCCAATGCTGCTGCCTCCCCCACAGGTTACATGCACACCCTGGTGCAGAATCTGGTCAACAACGGGTATGAGCGGGATGAGACAGTGCGGGCCGCCCCCTATGACTGGCGGCTGGAGCCCAGTGAGTGCCTCTGTGGATGATGGGCTCAGGGCCAGGCAGGTAGCCCCTGACCCCCACCGTCCTGACCCTATCCACACCCCTCTCCCCCTGTAGACCAGCAGGAGGAGTACTACCAGAAGCTCTCCAGACTGGTGGAAGAGATGCATGCTACTTATGGGAAGCCTGTCTTCCTCATTGGGCACAGCCTTGGCTGCCTGCACCTGCTCTATTTCTTACTGCGCCAGCCCCAGTCTTGGAAAGATCGCTTCATTGATGGCTTCATCACTCTTGGGGCTCCCTGGGGTGGCTCCGTCAAGCCCTTGCTGGTCTTGGCCTCAGGTGAGAGGGCCTCTGATCACCTGCATCCTGTAGGAGGACAGAGGGGTGGAATGGAGCTGCCCCTGGGCCCGCCCTCATTCCCACTTCTGCTTACAATGCCAGGCCCCAGGTGTTGTCCACCCCACACGGGGCAGGGGCCCCTCATTTGCCGAAGAGTAGTGAGCCCAGCCTAGACCATTAGAGTGGCTCCCACCAGAATCTGTGTTAGCGATGAAAAAGGGAAAGTTTGACAGAAAGGAAGTGAACCCCATCAGTCTGAATCCCTGCCTCAGGTTTGTTCCTGTGACCTCAGCTGGCACCTACCCAGCTTTCAGCTGCCTTCTGTTCCCAGGAGCCCCTTTCCCCAGGGATCTGCCTTACTGAAAACACATTTGCCAAAGCCCATTGAACACCCACTGTCTGCTTGGCACAGCCAAATGGTCTCCCCTGTAGGGTTCATGGTCAGGTGCGGGATACCCTCTTCAGACCACATCAGTTAGTCCCATACAGACGCAGTCTCCTTTCACACTTCCTGGAACACACCTCTGGCCGCTGTGCAGCGTCGACCACAGGGCCAGCAGACGCTTGCCCAAGAGAACCGCCAGCCTTTCCCCCACCTTCTGCACACGCATATCCACCCTCAGGAAAACCTTCCCTGCCCTCCTTCGAGGCCCTACAGCCCTGCCTCACAGAGGTGTCAGCGCTTCACATTTAGTAAGCACACATTAAGCACCTACTGAATTCTGCTAGGCTTGCTCTAGTGTGGCTTGGAGTCAATGTTTGGATTAGGCTAGGACAAAACCGAGCACCCACTTGAGCTTGGGCTGGGGGCAGCCAAGCCGGGCTCCCTGCCTACCTTGCTCCGTGTCCACAGGTGACAACCAGGGCATCCCAATCATGTCCAGCATCAAGCTGAAACAGAAGCAGCGCATAACGACGACGTCCCCCTGGATGTTTCCCTCCAGACTGGGGTGGCCTGAGGACCATGTGTTCATCTCCACACCCAGCTTCAACTACACAGGCCGTGACTTCCAGCGCTTCTTTGCAGACCTGTACTTTGAGGATGGCTGGTACATGTGGCTACAGTCACGTGACCTGCTGGCCGGCCTCCCGGCACCTGGCGTAGAAGTATACTGTCTGTATGGCGTGGGCCTGCCCACACCCCGCACCTACATCTTTGACGATGGCTTCCCTTACACAGATCCCGTGGGCATGCTCTATGAGGACGGCGATGACACTGTGGCCACACGCAGCAGTGAGCTCTGTGCCCTCTGGAAGGGCCTCCAGCCACAGCCTGTGCACCTGCTACCTCTTAATGGGACACAGCACCTCAACATGGTCTTCAGCAACCAGACGCTGGAGCACATCAATGCCATCCTGCTGGGTACCTACCGACATAACATCTCTGTACCCCCAGCTGCCAGCCCAGGGCCCTTGCCCCCGGTATAAAGATTGTCCTTTGGCCCTGGCCGGGTAGCTCAGTTGGTTAGAGCACTGTCCCCAATATGCCAAGGTTGTGAGTTTGATCTCCTGTCAGGGCACATACCAGAAGCAACCGATTAATGCATAAATAAATGGAACAACAAATCGATGTTTCTCTCCCTCTTCCTCTAAAATCAATTAAAAAATAATAATCCTTTGTTGCTGTAAGCCTTGATTTGTGGGTTGAGGGGGAGGCATTAGGGTTCATACACCATGATTCATCAGTAACTGCAGGCCTGGTGCTTTGTGGAGCATAGGGCAAAATCGGCTTTGCTAAGTAAAACCTACGACTGAACTAAGCACCTTGAAAGTACAGCTTCCTGCTCTCCTGCTTGAGCTGTTAAGGCAGCCTGCCTTTGTGCCTGCCTCTGCTCTGGGCGTGGGGCCTGGGGTCAGCCACACACACCACTGTGGCATGGGGGCACATGGAGCCAAGGGTTCCAGATGGGGAGGATCTGAGTTGTCTCTCCCAGCTTCCAAAAGGCAGGTGAGACCCCACCTCTAGACAGGGCCTTCTGAGTGCTAGGTGGGTGACAGAAGTACAAGAGATCAGAATCAGAGAATGACAGCCATTAATCGGATCATTTCACTAATGAAGTTTTAATCATTAATGGAGGTAAGTAGTCTACTATTCAGGTTTAAGGAAAACAAAGGGCTGAGTACTGTAGGTCTGGAAGGGCTTACCAGGGGAGGTGGTGCCTCTGCTGAGATCAGACGGAAGAGAAGGGTAACATGAGCCACTGTAAAGACTTGGGTTTGAACCTAAGAGCAGCATGCAGCTGCTGAAGGATTTAACCAGGGCAAGAGTCTACCAGATTTCCTCTTGCAGGGTAGAGCTGTAGGGAAAGGGGGGCCAAGGGAGTATGGGGAAGCTGGAGAGGACAATGAGACTAAGGCAGTAGTTATGCAAAAAGGGTCATTTGGGAGGTGAAACAGCAACCAGATGGACAACCAACAGGCCTCTCTTGAAAGAGGAAAGACAGCAGCTGAGATAGGGAAGATGAAAGGACCAGCAGCAGCAGCGTCACCATCACCACTCACCAGGCAGAGGATGGAGCCTTTGCGTTGGGGTTTCAGGGTAGGAGGCAAAGGAATCAAAGGACAGGCAGGAGTTTGGTGGAGGGTGACAAATGACAAAGGGCCATGCCTGATGCTGTTGGGAGGCCTGTAATAAAGCAGAGACCTGGCAAAAGGCCCAGCACCCTTACTAGGATCAGAGGCAGAGGCTCAGACTGGAAGTGTGAGGAGGAGCTCACAGAGGAGAGAGATTTGTCCATTTGTTCAGAGGATCTGGGAGTAGTAACATGGAGAGCCAGGCAAGGTGCATCACCCCCTTCCCAAATTTCTTAGCACCAGATGTGAAAGTGAAAGAGGAGATGCAAAAATAGGCCAGCGTCCTGAGTTAAGGTGAAAGCGAAAGCGGTTGCAGGATACGTGGAGCCCTGAAGAAAACAGGCTTCCGCCTTTCTTGCTCCCTGCTGGTCCCACTCTTCTAACCACCGACTGCCAATCCACGGACGGCCCCGACAGCCCCGAGATGCTGCAAACAGCACTCGAGCCCCGAGGGGGCTTCTCCTTCGATAACTGCCTGAGGTAGGAGATGGTTTGTCCCGAGCTGCCTGTGCTCTCCCAAGGCCTTCCTGGGGATGGACGCCCCAAGAGCCTTTGTTCCTGGTGGTGAAGGGCTGTGGGGGGGACGCATGTGGTGGATAACTTGAGTTCCCAGGCTTACTCCGGGAGGTGAGGGAGTTGAGACTGGAGTTTGAGCATCTGATGGGGGGCCCAGAAGAACAGAAACATGAGCCATTCCCCTCCGTTCCTTTTCCAGAAACGCATCTTTGGAACGCGCCCTCCCAGGACTCCGGGTCCCTCATGCACGCAAGACCGGGACCACCATCGCAGGCCTTGTGTTCCGAGTGAGCAGGGGATTGGGAGTAGGAGGCTTAGAGGGGCGGCCTGGGATCCGGCAGGCACTGAGACAATAGCCCGTTTCCTTCCCCCCACGCCCCAGGACGGAGTCATCCTGGGCGCGGATACGCGGGCAACTAACGATTCGGTCGTGGCGGACAAGAACTGCGAGAAGATCCACTTCATCGCGCCGAAAATCTAGTAGGAATTCCCAGCCCCACACAAGAACAGCCCCAGGGTTCTCATCCCCTGAGCCCTCCCCGCCCTGCAACGCACATCCTAGCCCTGCCCACATCGATTCTTCCTTCGCCCTCAGCTGCTGTGGTGCTGGAGTAGCCGCTGACGCCGAGATGACCACTCGGATGGCGGCGTCCAACATGGAGCTACACGCACTGTCCACGGGCCGAGAGCCCCGCGTGGCCACGGTCACGCGCATTCTGCGCCAGACGCTCTTCCGGTGCTGGGGCAGGGCTAAGATTACCCTGGGGAGGGGGTGGGCGGGGCTGCGAGGTCCCCAGAGACCGGAAGAGGCCACACTGAGAGGGGTTGGGCAAAAGGAAGGAGCGGGTGCCGTCAAGAGGCTACCGACCACCGGAAGGGGTGGGACTCAGATCCAGGGGAAATGTGGAGAGTGGGGCTTGGGTCCCAGTGCTTGAGCATAACCACACCCACTCCGCGCTAAGGTACCAGGGCCACGTTGGTGCATCGCTGGTCGTGGGCGGCTTAGACGTGACAGGACCGCAGCTCTACAGCGTGCACCCCCATGGTTCATACAGCCGTCTGCCCTTCACGGCCCTGGGTAAGCACTTCTGCCGGGTCCCCACGAATCCCACCCCTGCGCCCTTGGCCTCAGGTTTGTCTTGCGTTGGGACAACCGCGGCTTATCTTAAATGCCCTTCCTGTTTGCAGGCTCCGGCCAGGACGCAGCTCTGGCGGTGCTGGAGGACCGGTTCCAGCCGAACATGACGGTGAGCGACACCTGCCACCCACCTACCTGGTCGTTGGTCGAAAATGCACCCAGGGGCTGGGGGAGGGCAGAGGGACCTGGGCTAGTATGGAGGTCAGGGAGGCTTCTCAGAGGTGACGACCGAGGGGCCAGTAGAGTGAGGGTAGAGGAGTGCTATTTTCCAACAGACCACCGTCAGTGCCAAAGCTTTGGACTGCCAGGAGCGGTCAAAGCTCTGAGAGGACCGTTTGGAGCTGAGGGGGGAAACGGCAGGTGGGCCTAGAGTCTGGATTTTGTTTGGGGTAGGGTGGAAGTGGATGACGTATGTTGTTTCCAGGGTGCCTAAAACCCAGAAAGAGAAAGGCAGTGAGTGACACAGTGGATTGGGGGCCAAGACCACATTGGTTGGATAGACAGGCCACTGGAAGCAGAGCCTCAAGGGAAAGTGACCCAGAGAAGTTTGTGAAGATGGGGCAGTGCTTAGTGGGAACAGGGGTCTCTGGAGAGAGGAAGGCAGAGACCAGTGGAGGGAAGTTTGGGGTAAAGATGGGGGTGCAGGGTGAGAGAGGAGTTTAGCTGTGAGCAAATAAGTAGTCTGGACTTCAAGATTAACCAAGTCCCCAGGTTGTAGCCTGATGGTGATACCAAAAGGTACCACCAGGCCTCACACACACATCACCACAGCTGGAGGCCGCGCAGGGGCTGCTGGTGGAAGCCATCACTGCAGGAATCCTGGGTGATCTGGGCTCCGGGGGCAATGTGGATGCATGTGTGATCACGGAGACTGGTGCCAAGATGCTGCGAACACTGAGCTCGCCCACAAAGCCCATAAAAAGGTGGGAGCAAGAGACACAGGGGAAGTACTGGGGAGGATGGGCTGTCGTACATAAGGTTGGAGGCTGCAAGAGGACATGCCACATGATGGGCGCATATTGAGAAGCCTTTTCTCCTCTCTGCCAGGCCTGGCCAGTACCTGTTTGCCCCTGGGACCACAGCTGTCCTGTCCCAGACAGTGACGCCACTGCCACTGGAGCTGGTGGAGGAAACCGTGCAGACCATGGAAGTGGAGTGAAGCAGGCTGAGGCTTCAAGCTTGGAACAAGGGGAATAAACACAGAAAATACAAACAGCTGAACAGATGGCTATGTTGTTATTGGGTAGAGGGTGCGAGCAGCCAGCAGGACTGTGACTAAGGTATCGTCCCTGCAGAGGCCACTCCTACTGCTCCAGCGTCTGGTCTAAGAGGTGCCCTTTACCCATCACCATAGGTATCTACCCTGCTCCAGAAACTCAGCCCTGGCAAGCACTGAAGGCTCAAGGTGGAAAGCCCCCTCCTGACTCCACACCATGGAGGTTCCCCTACCACTCCCACACCTTGCTCTTGCCCTCTAGTCCACTGAGGGCTATTGTGAAACCTGAAAGGTCCCAGGCACTGCCCCCACTTAGAGCCTTTGCCTGGCTCATCAGTAGCCCAGGACAAGGCCCATCCCCTCTTAGTCAAGCCCCCAACCTGGACCCCACTGAGGGCTAAAGTGCTGCTGGTAGAGGAGCTGTTCCCTGATTCCAAGGGCAAGTTCTCAGAGCACTCCTCATCCCTGCTATGCCTTTAGCTGCAAAACCTGAAGCTGGGCTGTGAGTAGGGAGATTGACTCCAAGTTTTCTGGGCTGACGGGTCACAGAGCGCATGTGAGGACAGATGACATGACACATTTATCCAACAAATCTTTGCTGATCACCTTAAGTGCCAGGCTCAGGTGCTGGAGGCTGGTAGCAGCCTCCTGCCCTCAGAATGGCTGAGCTCCACTGGGGTTTTGCAACTGCCCAACCTCTGGGGAGGGTCTGCTCTAAACTGGACATCCCTGGGTCCGACTGTTTTCCCCAATATTTTATACTTTAAAACAAAACTTGAAGAATTGTATACTGAACCCCTATATATCCACCACATCTTTACCAAATACCTATTCATCCATCCCTCTCTTCACCCATTAACTCATTATTTAACTGATATGTTCTTGAATTAGTTGAAAGCCTCACACACCTAGAAGGAAGTCAGCCAACTTAGCCATTATAACTTTGCACATAGGGGCGTCTTCTCTCCCTTGGTTCAAGCTCGACAACAAACAGGCTGTAGATAACCAGGGGCTTGCCCACGAGCTGCAAGGTGTGAAGGTTGTCTGAGATTTGATGACTGTCATCCTTCTACCAGCATCCTCCCTACAGGCTTGGGCAGCAGTCACCAAGGGTACACACCTTGCCCTCCTGTGCACTAGGCCCCTCCCAAGCATTTCATCATTAAGTGTGTGGTCTTCAGAGCCAGACAGATGAGGTTTGTGTACAACGATACCATGTGCTGTGGGAGAGTCACCATCTGTGTGAGCAAACAGGGACTCCTGTTCTAAAAGGAGGAATCACTGCCCTGGCCGGGTGGCTTAGTTGGTTGAAGCATCCTCCCCATCTGCACCAAAAAGAACCCCTGTCCTGGCCACATGACCCTGACCCTCCACAGCAGAGCTGGTCAGCCAGACATTTCCTCCACCAGTCAGGAACACCCAGGGTGCCGAGCAGGCTTCTCTGCATCTGGTGCCCCTGGGAGGCCTGGGAGGCTTCCCGATCCCAGCACTCAGGTTGTCACCAGCCTTACAGTTAAGTCCTTAGAGCCGAGTGCTCAGCACTTGGGATGGGAGTGGTTCAGGTAGTCAATCAGAGGCCAGGTTTTAGAGGGTGGAGGAGGTGAGAAACTCACACCTGGGCTCTTTTTGATAAGTCCAGGCCTGGATCAAGAACCCTAGCCTAGAGAGACCCCCCTCCAGAACAGAGCGTGGGACAGGGTTGGGCCCATGCAGCTGGTCTGGCCTCATGCCTGGGACGTTAGCCCAAGGACGAGGAGACCTATAAAGCCAGGCCCTGTTCTCAGTCTCACACCTGCCACAATGATGCTGCTCAGCCTGACCCTCACTGTGATTCTGCTTGGCTCCTCCTGGGGTAAGTAGGCCTGGACCAGCCTTGGCTCCCAGCACCAGCTCAGGTTTCCTGCCCAGGGGCTCAGGGAGGGGGCCAGGCTGTCTAGAAGGGAAGCAGGTGGACAGAGTGGGTAAAGGAAAAGGGTGTGCCAAGGCTGTGAGGAGGCAGGAGGTAGACAGGAGCTCAGGCTAGGTGCAGGGGCCAGGGAGGCTTTAGGAAGCTACGAAATGAAGGCTGGACATGTAGTTTGGGAAGAGCCCTCCGGCTGCATGCAGAACCAGGGAGGGCAGAGAGCCAGAAGCAGCCTATCCAGCGGTCAGGAAGGATGTGGCCTGGAGGGTGGGGATGGAGTTGGGGAACAGTGAGGAGTAGGTTGGAGAGACTGGACAGCACCTGGAGGCTAGTTGGGCAGGAAAGATGAAGAATGTGCAGTGGCCCAGAAGGAGCTCAGGCAAGAAGGGGTGGTGACAAGCTCTCTCCATTTGGACTCCTCTGGGGTGCAGTGCTGGGGGTATTTGGAAGGAGATGGGGGGAGAGGTGGGCTAGGGTATGGAAAACAGGTCCTCACTAGCCCAATGGCCAGGCTGCGGCATTCCTGCCATCAAACCGGCACTGAACTTCAACCAGAGAATTGTCAACGGGGAAAACGCAGTGCCAGGCTCCTGGCCCTGGCAGGTGTCCCTGCAGGTACATGCACCCTGGGGATGGGGCAGGGTCCCAGGTGTTCCATGCCTAGGCAAAGCCTGAGTTCTTCTCTACTTCTGACCTGTGACCCCAGGACAGTAGCGGCTTCCACTTCTGCGGTGGTTCCCTCATCAGCCAGTCCTGGGTGGTCACTGCTGCCCACTGCAATGTCGTGTGAGTGTTTCCACACCGCCCACCCCTCCGCAGCCTATCCCTCCCCACTTCTTCCCTCCAGATGCCCCTACTTTGTTGCTCTGCCCTCCCTTCTGCGATCTAACCCCACTCTCACTGCAGCCCTGGCCGTCACTTTGTCGTCCTGGGCGAGTATGACAGGTCATCCAATGCCGAGCCTGTGCAGGTTCTGTCCATCTCACGGGTGAGTGCCTGGGCTGCAGACATAGGAAGAGTAGGCAGTACAGGTGGGTGGTATCAGGGGGTGAGGAATTCAGGGCATGCCCCAGCCTAGCCCCCTAAGCACCTATCAACCCTGGGGTCCTGTGCTCACCCCATCTTATGAGGCCCCTTCTTGGCTCCACAGGCCATCACGCATCCGTACTGGAACCCCAACACCTTCAACAATGACGTGACACTACTGAAGCTCGCCTCCCCAGCCAAGTACACAAAACAGATCTCCCCGGTTTGCCTGGCTTCCTCGAATGAGGCGCTGCCCTCAGGCCTTACCTGTGTCACCACTGGCTGGGGCCGCCTCAGTGGCATAGGTGGGAGCTTGGGCCAAAGATCCGGGTGGGAGAGCCAGGGTGAGGACAAGGTGTCTGGGGCCTAATTACCCCCTCCCGGCACACAGGCAATGTGACTCCAGCACGCCTACAGCAGGTGGCCCTGCCGTTGGTCACTGTGCAACAGTGCCGGCAGTATTGGGGCTCACGTGTCACCGATGTCATGATCTGTGCAGGTGGCTCAGGGGCCTCCTCATGTCAGGTAAGCACTAGCACCCTGTCCTGTCCTCTGGCATCCCCTAGTCCCCCATGCTGACTTCTCCCCTCTCCCTCCCTCAGGGTGACTCTGGAGGACCCCTTGTCTGCCAGAAGGGAAATGTGTGGGTGCTGATAGGCATCGTCTCCTGGGGCACCAGCAACTGCAATGTGCGAGCACCTGCCATGTACACACGAGTTAGCAAGTTCAGCAACTGGATCAACCAGGTCACAGCCCAAGGCTGAGCCTATCCACAGGCCCCTCCCTTCTTAATCCCATAAACACCCCAGACTCCATCCTTTCGTGTCATCTGGTTTGTGCTCCTGGCTCACAGGAGTCTCTCCCCACTTGGACTTTGTCCTCCAGCAAGGCAGGTGTTGAGGGGTCAGAATCTTCCTAGAGCAGCCATGCCCAGACTGGGCCCCCATCCCGCCTGCTCCTGGGTGACCCCTGGCCAACAGTAACGGTCCTGGGCTGTCGAAATGGGCAGCCTTCCCTGAGGAGGGCAGCCTGTTTATTGAGTACAGAGGATACATTTACAGAGTACACAAAATAAATAACTGCACATTCTCCATCCACAGTCCATGGCATTAAGGCCCAGGTGGGCCTATCAAAGGCCCAAGTCTCAAAACTCCCTCTTCCCTACCTTCAAGACCAGGTCTATCCTGGGCAAAAAAGGAAAGCATTTCCCAGGGCTTCAGGCCCTCAGAGGCACTTGAGAAAGTGAGGAGAATTCTGAGGCCATGGGGCTTGGGCTCTCTACTGCCTTATGCCAGGGCACTGAGGGCAGAAGGAGGGGGTGTATAAGGCACAATCGACTCGGCCCAGAGTGGTCTCTTTGGCTTGGTTTCCCACTGGAGGTGGCACATGCAGAGAGAGGAGAGCCTGGCCCAAAGCTATCACGGGGAGGAACAGAGTGAGGGCCCTGTACTCTAGCTAAGGCTAAAGCTGGGCCCTGGCTCCTCCCCACCCACTGAAAGCAGCTACCAAGTGAGGGGGTCTGGGTTCCAGCCCAGTTTGTGGTGGGGGAGGCACCATGACTGACATGGGGAGATCTGGCTGAGGCCTCTGGGAAAGCAGCCACCTAATTCCACTCACCTCCTGCAGGGGCTCCCTCAAGCCTGAGATTCAGTGGGCCCCAGACTACAAGGGGAATGCTGTGAAAAGAAACGGGACAGGCTGGACTAGGCAAGGCCAGGGCCCCAGGCACTCAGGGTTCAGAGGCTGATCACACAGTTTGGCTAAGTTCCAGGGGAGCTGTGCAGCTTAGCAGAAGGGGAGAGTAGAGCAGCCCCAAGACCCTCCCTCAAAGCAGCAAGTCCTTGCTTCCCACTTCCTCTTGGAAGGTAAAGGGTGAGCAAGGTTCCTGGGCTGCCTATACTCATGCCAGACACTAGATGGCGCCTTCATGCAGCTGCAGAGGACGGAAGAGCAGAGCCCGAAGGGAAAGGGCCGTGGAAGTACCAAGGGTAGAACCAGGACTGGCACTGGAACCCTGATGGGGTTTCTCCCTGGGAAGCCCCTGCCCTCTGCCTTGGCCCAGGTGCCTCCATCCCCCAGCTAGCAGCAGTGGGGCTCCCTTTAATGCCCCACAGTTGGGAAGGAGGCACCTGGAGAATAGAATAGGCATCTAGGGGAAGAGGGAGGTGGTGGTAGTCTCTGCAAAGGAGGCACTGAGAGCAGTGGCTAGTGGTGGGCAGGATCTCTCTCACAGTCAGAGGAAGGCTGGAGCGTGGCGTAAGCCTGCTACCAACAGGGCCACACAGTCCAGAAGGGCCAAGCTCCATGAAGGAAGACAGGTATTGGCTGAGAGGTCAGGGTCTGTTTAGACTTAGCCAACAGCTAAGAGTCCAGCCAAGGCACAACCTGGGCCTACCTGGGCCTCTCACCGGAGCATAATCATGAGGATCAGGATGCCATGGAATGTGGGGGCGGGGGGGGGGCAGGCAGGAAGGTTTGGTGGAGGTAAAGGAGGGTTTTCAGAAGTAACTGTCCCAAAGAGTCCTAGAACCACAGGACACTCTACCTGGCACTGTCTGCTTCTTTGGTCTGGGGAAGAGCCAAGGGCAAGGGGTGAAGGAGACTGAAAGCCAGGCCCTACCCTCTCCCCAACTTTACTAGAGCAATTACCCACCTAAAGGAACATCAGTGCCAGGCCAGGCTCCTAGTTTAGAGGGCTCCCAGCCCCCTGGGCTCCCTCCATTCTGTCACACCAGGCCCAGGGTGAGGAGAGGGACTACTGAAGGCACAGAGAAGTGGCTGGGCCATTCACCTACCACTGACCATATAGGCCCATCTCCAGAGAGGGCACTGGGCCCAGATGGCGTAGCAGTGTGTGACCAGGCTGGGACCATGCCATGTCTCGACCACGGCCAGGCAGCTCAGCCGTTGTATTGCTGCTGGTATCGCAGGTTGAGCTCCCTCAGCTCCCGCTCCCGCACGCGGCGCGACTTGTTGGAGCGTGTAGAGCGGCTGGAACGTGTAGACTGGGCAGACTTGGTGCTCTGGCAGCGCGAGGAGGCGCGTTTGAGGAGGTTCTGGGAGATGGAGCGGTGCAGATTCTTCATGGACGAAGAGGCTGCCATGCTCACCACCCACGGGTGCCTCAGGGCCTGCATTGCAGTCATTCGGGCGCTAGGGTCCACTGTCAGCAGGCGGTCAATGAAGTCCTTGGCCAGGTTGGATACGCTGGGCCAGGGCTAGAGGCAAGGACAAGCATTAGAGTGAGAGCACTCAGTAGTGCCTTCCCTACGCCAACAATGCCGCTACCACGGCACTCGGGCCTGCCCAGCGTGTGCCCTCTCCCCACAAAGGCACTGCCTGGCTCTGCCAGTGTAGGACATTCTGGGCCTCCCCTCCCCACCCAGGGAGTAGAGGCTGTTTTGACAAGGCATCTGACAAGGAGAAGGGCCTATGCCCCACCCCAAGGAACAAACTTCTAAGGTTTCCTGGACTCAAAGCCTGGCTCTGTCTCAGGAAGGTGGCTCCTGTCAAGAACCTCCCCCCGCCCCCACCACCAACTTACTCCAAGACCACTGTAACTCAGGGGTTTTAAAGGGAATGACTCAAACCTCCATTTATATCCTTAGCCAGGCTATTTTTACTTTTTCAAGAGAACAAATCCATTTTTACCTATTTAGTTTTCAATAAGTTTAAATCCTTAGGGGTACAGCATTACATGGATTCTGTGTACAATGGCCTTAACAGGCAGGTTGCTCTGGAATGCAGCACAGACCAGGCCACCGTTTCTATGCGCATGAGTCACCTCCCCCGACTGCTCTGGTTTTGCTTGGTTTGCCACCAGAAGTTACTGGGTTGTTCTTTGCCATGTACACAAGCACATCATTGGACTAGACAGAATTGTTTCAGTTTAAGCATAAACACCTTTAATTTTTTTTAATCTTTTAAAAAATATTTTATTTACTTATTTTTAGAGGGGAGGGGAGGGAGAAAGAGTGGGAGAGAAACATCAGTGTCAGAGAGAAACTTCGACTGGTTGCTTCTCGAATGCTCCCAACCGGGGACTCAGCCCATAACCCAGGCAGGTGTCCTGACCAGGAACTGAACCAGTGACTTTTTGGTCTGCAGGCTGGTGCTCAATCCACTGAGCCACACCAGTCAGGGAAACACCTTTAATTTTAAGAACTGCCCTGATTGGCTCAGTGGGTTGGGCATTGTCCTGCAAATTGAAAGGTCAATGGTTCAATTCCTAGTCAGGGCACATGCCTGGGTTGCAGGCCAGGTTCCCATTTGGGGGTGTGAGAGAGGCAACCGATTAATGTTTCTCTTTCATATTAGTGTTTCTCTCTCCCTCCCTTCCCCTTTCTCTAAAAAACAAACAAACAAACAAACCAAATCTTTAAGAAAAGGAAAAAAAGAGCTGTGTGCTCCATCTTGTTTTGGAGACCCCACTTACTGCCTTCCAGGCACATCTGTCATTTCAGAAGTCCTGTTCCTGTCAGGCCTTGACAGGCTCCAAGAGCCACACTTAAGCTCCAATCCCTGGATACCCACAGCAGGCCACTTAGAGGCGAACTTCCAAGTTCTTAATAGAGGGTGCACCTTCCCTCTAACAAAGCAGTGGTGGGCAACCACGACACACCCTGCATTCAGCAGACACACTTAAATGGCAACTATTGCTGCCCCCAACTTGGCTTCCTTGACCTCCAACTCCTTCCCACTAGTGTACAGAGGTGGAGCAGGGAGCCCACTCATGTAGAGTCCTGAAGAAGGGGGAGGGCAACTTGTAGTTGCTACCCTTCCCTGCCCTTTGGAAGGCAAATCTCAACTTTTACTGAGCTGAACTGGAAGAAAGTAACAGAGACCACATTTCTAAACAGCCACCTAATAGGGTCTCCCACAACACTGGGCCAGCTCCCAGAGTTCTCTGGGGCGACAGATACTGGCCCTCAGGTGGAGGATGAGCAGTCAGGGCCTCAGGAGCATGCAGCCCCAGGAGGCCCATAAATACCTTGCTGTCTGAGAGTAGAGAGGGGGAGCAGGGAGCAATGGCCCTCCTATTTCAAGAAAGCCCATGGCTTGCTGCTGCCATCTGAACACAAGGAGCAAATGTGAGGGCCCAGCCGGTCTAAACTACAGACATACAGACACTCACTGTAGCCCCCATCACTCAACGAAGAGATGTAAAGAAGCAGGCACAATGGATCTGTTGATAGATGCAGTGTATCTAGAACTGAGTGGGCTGGGTCACAGGGCAGTGCTGCCCTTCCATCTTTCATGGTTTCAAAGAAAAGGAGAAATCACGGGGAACACACTGTGGCTCAGCCTGGCCTGGTGGGACACCCCAAGGCACAGCTGGCACACTGGGCTAGCCGAGCGAGACTAGGACATGGATTCTGCCCCCACCCCTTTGTCTAGCCAGGATAGAAGAGGGGCGACTCCTCTGCAGATGAGAGAATAAATAGCTGCAAAGTTGGACCCAGAAGCCAACAACTTGAACACAGATGGACTGGAGGCACACCCGCCCAAACCAAGGCCCCCTGCAGCTCCAAACCAGTCCAGAGCAGTCTTAGACAGGCCTCTCACCACATCTGCCATGTGGGCTTAAGCATCTTGATCTCCAGAGCGGCACAGGCACACACCAGGCATCGACCCCTGCTGGTTCTCGAGTGGCCAGTCCATTAGTGCCAAAGCGAGTCAGATTGATCTGCCCCTCCGACTCCCCCAAATGCTTGCCTCTCCAATTACTTGTGTACGTGAGACTGTGTGCAGAATTCAGATGGACTCATTTGTCTGAGGGCCAGCCCAGCCCTCTCTGGCAGGCCCCAGTTCTCCCCATCTTGGAAGAGCTGTGAGTAGCTGGGCCTGGTGGGTCCCCCGGGCCAATGAGATTGAAGCCACACTGACCCGAAAACCAGGCTGTGCCAATGGCCCCCAGCCTAACCCTCACACACTGAGGGACTTGCAGTAGGCTGTCAGGCAAGCGGGACACAGGAAGGGGTCCTCACCTAGCCCACTAACAGTGGGGCAGAGCTTAGGCTGACTTCCAGATTAGGGGCCTCTGGGAGCCCTATACGGTCTCCAGTGGGGCTCGGAAAAGAAACCCAATTCCAATTCTGGCCCCAAATCCAATTCAGCACCTCCTAAGAAGCATTCAGCACCTACAGACCAACCCACCACTTTCCTCAACATGTCTGGGCCTCTGGAGACACGTGGGTATGTCTGTCAGCCTATGGCTAGACTGACTGGCCAGGAAGTATTCTGGGCATAAGGAAAAGAAAAATGATTAAACAGTCACGCCCTTGGGTTTCCACAACTCTAACTGTAGGTTCTGGGTAAAGAACAGAACTCTCTCTCACCTTGGTATACTTGGGCCCAGACCAGGGACACATATGGGCCTCAGGTGGCTGACAGAAGGGACAGGCCCCAGGAACCAACCTGGTCAGTCTCCCAGAGGCTTCCACCTGTTTCTGGGCTGCCGTGGAGCACAGGACATGGAAGAAAATGTTAAAATGTCAGTCTGCCTTGCCCCAGACACTCAGGTCTCCCTCTGCGGTGGGGTCAGAGGACAGCTGTAACACGCAGGAGGACTGCTTACACCCTCCTTTCCACAAGTCTCTCACGAGCTGTGTGGGTGGGGGACAGGCTCTGTCCTGAGGACAGAGAGAGGCTGCTGGAGGAGGGACATCACCTCTACTCGGCTCTGACCATCAGGTTGGATGCCCTTCTCTCTAGTCCGTACCCTCCAGAGTCCTTGTCCCCTTGCAGTTAGGGTAGCTACTGTTGATACTGTCACAGCAGAGAAGCTAACAGGGTCTAGAGGAGGGACCTCTCCCGTGGGCACTCCATTACTAACTTCACCCTCTTTATCCCCTGCTCCTGCCAGACCAGCCACTCCTCAGCAGTGGAGTCCAAATCCCCGGGGAGGGAGGCACCAAATCCCAAAGGGCTTTCCACTCCAGCTCAAAGGATGCACCTCCTCATTCCCTAGCCCCGCCCCTCTAACTTTCTCTAATTTTTTTTTTTTTTTTTGGAGAGAGTGGGGAAGGGGATAGAAGAGAAGGAGAGAAACATTGATGTGAGAGAGAAACACCAATTGGTTGCCTCTTGTACCCACCCCAACTAGGGACCGAAGCTACAACCTAGGCATGTGCCCTGCCTGACCAGGAACCGAACCTGCAACCTTTTGACTTATAGGATGACACCCAATCAACTGAGTCACATTGATCAGGGCACAACTTGTTCTACCTTTAATGTCACAAGGACCTAGCAAGAACATTACCCAAGCCACCACCAGTGGTCTCACCTGGAGCTCAAGGGCTAAGGGAACAAAGGACAGAGACAGCTCTCTGGCCTTGGTTGCAGAGATAGGAGGAAGCTGCTTCTTTCCAGCAGCAAACCCAGCTCACAGGGCTTGCCCTGGACACCCTCTGGCAGGCAGGTCTGCCCGCTCTCAAGTGAGGGGTGAAAAAGGTCTGGTGTCTCTTCCAGATGGCATCTGGGTGACAAATTAAGTGCTACAAGCCTAGCAACCCGTGTTCTAGTTCTACCTGCTCCATGTGATCTTAGAGAAATCACAGTTTCCTCACTTTTAATACAAAAGAGGTAAATGCAATGAATTCTTAAGTCTTTCCCAGTTTCTAAAGTCCTGGATTTTAAAAAGATGGCTCTCCGTCTTTTTTCCTTGTTTGGCTGAGAAAAAGCATGGCATCTAACATTTAAGCCAATGTGACCTCTTGACGTGCATGTGTTCTTTCCCAGCCCATGATGACTCTGGGGAAGATTCCCTGATTGAGAACGCAGCCCCACCAAGGAGCTGCTAGGGGAAGCAAGGGAAGAAAGACGCCTGGGCTTTGCTCCCATGACTCAGTTCTTCCCTCAGTTTTGTCTCAGGATGTATTTTCAGACCCAGAATTCCCACCCTCAAAGGCCTCCTCCCTGTACTTTCGTGGGCCTGAATGAGAGCAGAGAAAAGGGCATACTGGAAATTCTAGGAAGTGGAGCTTCAGGTGCACTCAGGAGGACAGAACCGGTGTGTGACAAGAACGGCACACACTGATGCTGCCCACAAGGAAAAGCGTTTTGAAAACTTCAGCAGAATTAGAGACTCTGTGGCAGTGCAGCCAGTACCCCTCCTCTGGTCAAGACACTCACCATCCTGGTGCTTGGGCTTCCGGACCAGACAGAACCCACCACCCTGGGACCTGGCAGGGGGTGGATGGGAGCCAAGCAGCAGAAAAGAGAAGGACGTTGGGAAGAGAGCCTGAGGGGAGAAAAAGAAGGAAGGTAAGAGAGTTTTTAAAAGAGGCAGAGAGCCCTTGATTGGTGCGGCTCAGTGGACTGAGCTCTGGCTTGCAAACTGAAAGTTCGCTGGTTCAATTCCCAGTCAGGGCACATGCCTGGGTTTCAGGCCCAGTCCCCGGATGGGGGCGTACAAGAAGCAACCAATTGATGTATCTCTCACACATTGCTGTTTCTGTCCCTCTCTTTCTCCCTCCCTTCCCCCTCTCTAAAAATACATAAAATTTAAAAAATAATACCTCTTGAACATAAATAGTTTTTAAAAAGAGGCAGAGAATAAAGATAAAAATGAGAAAAGGCACAACTTTGAGGTCAGTAAAGCTGCATTCTGAAACTTATTCTGAGAAGAATAACAAAATGAAATCCTGCACCTCCACCGGTTCCTGCCCAGCACCCACAAAGTGGAGGACCAGGGCAGGAGGGAGACAGGAGAGATGCTCAAGAGTCAGGAGAGATGCCGTGCACGCTGTGTGCCCAACGTGGAATCCGGGGGCTGGGGACCACCTGTGCCAGCGGACGAGTAGCACCTGCTGTTAATTAACAGTGTCCTGGATCAGCCCTGGAAGACTCCGTATTTCAGAGCCTGCTACACAGTGGTTTCCTCTGTCTCCGCCCATGGGTTCTGCTGGGGCCAGGTGGTTTCCAGGGCCCAACCCGGCTTTTATTTTTTATTTTTTAAAATTTGTTTTAAAGATTTTTATTTATTTATTTATTTTTAGAGAGGGAAGGGAGGGAGAGAGAGAGAGAGAGAAACATCAATGTGTGGTTGCTGGGGGTTATGGCCTGCAACCCAGGCATGTACCCTGGCTGGGAATCGAACCTGCGACACTTTGGTTCGCAGCCCATGCTCAATCCACTGAGCTATGCCAGCCAGGGAGGCTTTTATTTTTTTAACTTCTAATTCTATTTTAATTAGAATTCTAGTTTCTGAGGCAGTTTAGAAACCCAATGTCTGTCAGCATATCACTCACACTGTGGCCTCTGCCCCCAAAGGTCTGTGTCCCTGGAGCCCTGGTACACTGAACTCGGCCCAGGGCAGGCACCTGGTCAACACGGGGTGGCAAGATGAGTGGAGAGGAAGGTGCCGGCTTTCTGTCCAACTGGCCAGGTCACACTGGAGTGGTGCTCAGGTCTGGGCACAACTGCACGAGAAGACAGACAAACCGAGGCCAGACAGGCATGCATGAGAAGGGTGACCTTGTATGATGGCAGAACCGACCGAGGACGGAGATCCTGGAGCGGTATGGCCAGTGGGGAGTGGCTGGACCAGGGGCTTCCACCTCAGTGGGGGCAGGAGGGAGATGTGCAAGGGAGGCCGTCGACAGACTGAAAGAGGTCAGAAGGTGGGAGAGACAGCAGCCCCAGCAGCTCCCAGAGCAGTGTGAGGGCCCAGAGATAACAGGGCCTTTGAGAGGGCAGAGCTATCCGATGCAGACAGTAACAGCAAGAAAGGGAAGGGTGCACCAGTAACCACTCCGGACACAACCCTTGACACGTCCCTTTTGCTGAAGAGGCCTCGGTGGGGGCTGGGGGTGGGAAACAGCAGCCGTGAAAAGCAGCTCTGACCCTGGGTCAATAAGATGCTACAGGTTGTCAAAGCAAGGCCATTTTGGTAGGAACGGCTGAATACAGCAACACTGAAAGATGGGAACCTGTTTCTGCCACCACAGAAGCTTACTGCTTTCTGGGAGTGTGCAACCAGAACTGCAGTGGCAGAGGGATGCCTAGAAGACAGGGCAAGGCTCCAGGGAGCCGATGACATACAGGGGATGCTGTGGCTCTCCACTTAGAGCCTGCCTCCTGCCCCCACAAGGAGGGAGCCAATCCTGTCTTCCTCCAAGAGGTCTCCAACCAAGAGGAGGCTTCCAACCACGGTGACCAATGAGGGTCCACTGCCCACACCCAGTGAACAAAACCATACTACCTCCCAGTGACCAGACCGGGATCTGAAGGCATCTGCTCCTGCAGTGAAGGGAGACTTATCTGTTGAACACCTACTATGTACCAGGAGCTTTGGTGAGGTATGGACACATGGCCCTTGCCGAGGGATCCTTTCTTAACAGAAAAGGGGGCACTGCTTGTCTTACTGGGACCCTCACATAGAGCCAGCATCATCATCCAGCACTTGATACCCAGCAGTCATCAACGGGCAGGCAGGAAACAAGGGCTTAGGGATGCCTCTGAGCAAAGAATTCTAAATCAATTCACAATTTTTTGTTATGTCAGCTACTCAAACAGACACAGGAAAGCCATCCTCTGACTCAGGGAGGAGGGGGCAGTGAGAGAAGAATGGAGAACTGATGGTCCATCACAGCCCCCATATACTCTGAAGTGGGAACATGAGGCAATTAAAGACACCCAGCAGAATCTAAGCAGGAGCCAGGAAACATGCCACCCACCTCCCTGCATTCTATTCCCTCTGCTGCCCAAATGCACATCTGGTCTCCCGCTTTCCCACGTCCCCCCTGCAGCCCTCCCCATGGCTCTGGGGCAAGGTCTTATCCCCTCACCCAGGGACTCTCTGTTGGAGCATGGGAACCAGGCTGCAAGATCAACCCCGACAGGCAGGCGCCCCTTCACCTAGAGAGCACCGAGACGGGCCACACCCTCTCCACTTCATTCCATCCTCAACACCTCAGAGCAGTCACTTTAGAAAGTGGAGAAGAGCTGAGCCAGGAATGTCGGTGCCGACTCTGGCACTCATCCAACCACGGGGCCATTAGAAGTACAAGATGGCCCAACTAACTGCCATTGGACCCCAGGTAGATGGTCAGCCCACAGCCCAGAAACCCACCCCTGAGGAGCCACCTCCCACCAACACTTATCCCCCTGGTAGTGGCAGACGGGTCCTGCAGGTGGGCTTCCCGTCCCACGAGGATTCTGTCCTCTGCAGAGCAGCCCTCACTCTCCTGAATGAGACTCCCTGAAAGGCTCTGCCCAAGCCCATCTGTTCCTGGCCATCACCCAGTCTTGCCCACAACAGAGACTGACCAAACAGAGGCGTATGGCAATTAAAGGTTGTGAAACACAGGGAGGCAGCAAAGCTGCTGATGGAATCTCTCTGCCATCGGTCCTCCAAGAGCCACTTCATCTGTCCTGCCTCTAGGAATAGAACTCTTAACAAAAGCAATGACATTAGGCCAGCAGTGTTACATTTCATGTCAAGTGAATCACAGAATTCGCAAGCGCAACCACAACAATTCCCTAGTATGGGGGAGCAGATGACTCACTCTCTGTGTCACTCACTCCTGTAGAAACAGCTGCCCCGGCCCTACTGGGCCTTCCACGACAGGAAGCTGCTCTCTCAAGGCGGCTCTTTGTGTCTCAGACCACTCTCAGTCATGCAGGCCTTCCTCACACCTGATCAGTGGGTCTCCCCATCGCGTCCGTTGTGAGCCTAGCTTAGCCCTCTCCACTCTAGCACCTCCAGTCACTGGGTAAGTGTTCAGATCTCTCCTCTCAGAACCATCTGCCACAGCCTTCTCCCTCCCAGCTTTCCCTCCTCCTCTTCCAAGAAACCTTTGTTTGCTTCTAAGTCTGGCTAGCAGCCCCCCAAGCATATCACCAGCAATCTCCCCACTTTTTCGTGGAGTCCAGACCCCAGCAGAGAGCACACCCAGCCAGCATGGGCAGCCTGGTCTGCCTGCCAGCCAGTAACTTTTGGGGCCCTTCTGAGGGTATCGCCAACAACCAGTGGTGCTTCCCTCAGGAGAAGGCAGGAGAAAGTACTGAGAGCATATGCACTGATACATAGTGCCCTCAAGGACCTCATAAGCCAGGGAGGAGAGAGATGTCCACAGACAACAGCCCAAGAAAGTGCAAAACCAGTCCAACAACATGCTGAGGCATTTGTCAGACAGTAGGCTGTGGGGATGAGAAAGCCAAGATGGCCTGGGTTTAAATTCCAGGCCTGAGCCCTGGCTGGTGTGACTCGGTGGATTGAGTACAAGCCTGTAAACTGAAGGATCGCTGGTTCAAGTCCCAGTCAGGGCACATGCCTGGGTTGCGGGCTAGGTCCCCAGCTGGGGGCATGTGAGAGACAACACATCACTGTATCTCTTGCACATTGACGTTTCTCTTCCTCTCTTTTCCCCCCACTCCCCTCTCCCTAAAAGTAAATAAATAAAATCTTAAAAGGAAAAAAAAATCCCAGGCTGGACACCCTTCTAACTGTGAGAGCATGGACCAGTTACTTAACCTCACTGGCCTCAGTTCCCTCATCTGCAAAGTAGGCGTGGAGGGGATTACACTCACCTGACTGTTGTGGAGGTTAGAGATTTTGAGGGTACTCAGAAGGCACTACACGATGGCAGCGGTCAGCATTATTTGGAAAGGAAGCAATGGACCTCTTCTAAGGATTGGGAGCAGAGCAGAAAGCCTGAGAAAAGCTTAGTGTGGGGAGTATGTAAGTGGTGCAAATGTCTTGGGTATGTGGGCCACGGGCAACGGGGTGAGGCTTGGGGCCAGAGTATCTAGACTGTCGGGATCGGGGCAGGTAGGGTACTAAAGAAGGACCCACTTGGTGTGCTTCCCTCTGCCAATGGGCCCCCCCATAGGGTGATGCCAAGGCAGGACCCTATGTACTCTCTGGCCCAGAGGGCAGCCTGAGTGCTCTCTCAATCTGCCCTCACAAGCTGATGAGCCTGCAGAGCCACAGGAGGGTTCTACCCCCCACTCCTTCTCTTCCTAAATGATGGCTCCTGCGTACCACATGGAGCCCACTGTCTGAGACTCCGGATCTGCCCCAAACATCCGCAAGAGGCCAAGCTGGGATTATTCTAACAGCCCTCAGGTAAACCTTCTGCTAATCTCCCAAGACACTTTCTGGTGTCTGCCCCCTTCACTATCAAGAAACCAAAAGGCTCCCTCCCACCTAACACTTCCAATCCCCAAGAAGCCTCCAGCACTCCAGAGCTCCTGACACCAAACATCAGACCTGCCTCACCCTCATCACCCTCTGCAGCACACTCCTAAACAATCTCCTGTTTATTCTGAAGCACGGTCAGTAATGCCCCTCTCTGAGCCTCCACCTGCTCAAAGCCTGCATCCCGCAGGACGTTCTCCGTTCAAGCCCACGGAAACCACTGAGCCTGATGGGGGCTGCACGGACAGAGCCCTCAGGGAGCCAGCCCGTGGGAGAGGGCCTGGAGTACGTGAGACACCACTATGAGGGGGCAAGCGACAGGAAAAGTGTCCCTAAAAAGGAACCAAGTACCAGAGAACATACTGTCAGGAGAGGAATGCACACCTCCAAACCTTGCTGAGCTCAAAGTGGGTAGTCCTTTATTTATACGAGGAGTTAGACGGAAACACTCCCCTCACCATGGCAAGCTCTCAGACAGGTCTTCTGGCAGGGCCTTAATCATTTAGATGGTCTTTATAAAGGCAAATGACTATCACAGAGTATAAGGTAGATGGCTGGACTGGGCAGTGGCAGGGCCCAGCCCTAAGAAGGGGGCCAGGCCAGCCACCCAACTTGAGCCTAACAGCCCACAACCCAGACTGCCCAGGCCCAGAGGCTCCAAGCCAAGGCCTGTGCTGGCACATGCCTGACAATGAGGGTTCATTATGTGGACACTTCCTATTTCTAGCCCTTTACCCCCAAGCAATCTTAAGCTCCATGGGGTGGGGATCTTCCCCAGGTGCACTTACGGGTAGGCAATGACCAGTAGAACAGAAAGACTGACGACTGGTCTCCAGTTCAGAGAGGCTGATCTTATGATGAGGCCTCCTTACCCAGAAAACACCCCACACGAGTCCCTCCTGACCCAGAGCTCTCTGTCATTTGGCGGTGGAATTTGTTCTGAGGATCAGCCAAGCTCCTGGTAACAGACAGGTGTTGTCAGGGCTGGCCAGGAATTCAACTCTGGAACTGGAAACTGATTAAAGGTAGTAGGGCCAAAGGCTGGGCAGTGCCCCCTAAACTCTGAAAGCCCCAGATTCATGCCCTGTGATTCTAATAAAGCAAGAAATAGAACCGAGGACCCAATCTTGTGGCTACAGTAGGAGCAGGAGGCCTGATTCCACTCCATACCCCATTCATCATTCTCTACCCTCAGATAATCAATAGCCAATTAGCAAAACCCCACAAGCTCCAATTAGATAAACTGCCTGTTCAACAACTGCCAGAATCTGGAACTTTTGGGCAAACCTACAGACTTCTCTAAAGAGTCTTTCCTTTGTCAGCATCTCTTAGGAAACCTCCCTCCCTCCCATAGCTGAGCTTGCTACCCCCTCTGCCAGCAGGACCCTCAATAGCCTGACACTACACAGAGCTCCAGGGGCTAGAGCTCCCAGAGCAGAGCAAACCAGGCAGGGCCCAGGCACAACACTGCCTCTGTGAGGTGGATTCTGGGTCTTCTGACCTATGATAGATCCTGGCCCAGGCCAGAGTGAGGAGGACAATGTCCTCTGTGACCACTCCACTGCAGCCTGGGTTTCCACCCCCCACCCCTTCAGCGCCTGTTTTGTTGAATGCATTTGGAGCAAGGAAGAAAACATGAGAAACTTTAGGGAAGAGCTGGAGAATGTTCCAGTTTCTCCTTTGCCTGTGGCTAGCACAGAGGTGGCCTGCAGAGGAAGGCTTCCCTCCCTTCCTCACGCCACCCTGAGAAACATGACCTTGCCATTTCCCAGAGGACAGCCCCCACCCACACGTGGGAAGTCCTTGACTGACCCCACAACTGTGTCTGGAAGCTGTCAGGGAGGATGATGGAGCATTGACCTCGAATGCTGAAGGCAAAGTGTTGTGAGGCTCTGGGTAACTTGTGCAGGAAATGCTGCTGTGGGTCAACTGTCTGCGGCCAGAGAGAGCCCAGGCCGAAATCCCTGGGAGAAAGCTGGGCTGCAAAAGGGATCTGGTCCCAGAGTTTCCCTTCCCACCATGCTGGTTATTTAAGAGGCGTGGACAGCTCCTCGGCGAGCCCAAAGCTGAGGGGAACACTGTGGGGAGCACTCAGGGGAGGGTCCCCACTGCCTTGGCAGAATCCTGTGGCCCTACACAGCTTATCTTTCCTCCTACATAAAGCCGTGAAACATATCTTTTCTTCACAGCCTGGCTGAGCACACTATTACACTCTGGCCTGCAGCGCTGCTCCCTGTGGGCAGCCTCACTTCCTGCCCCGTCAGTGTCCTGCCTCAGCACTGACCAGCTCTCACTTACTCTGCACCTTCCTTCAGCTCCCAGCATTGCCGAAACCTAATGGATTCCCACCCCCACCCAGGTATTAATGGATCCAAAGACACAAACTGATGGCCAGCTGTTTGAATCTGGCCCGCAGGTTAGCATTTATTGGCATACAAGGTACTGCTTAAACATGTGAATTAGATTCCAACACTTTAAGATTAGATTTTTCTAATTCTCTTTCAAAAGCTGGAATGTCTGGAACTGTGGGGTCCTCACTTCCTCAGTGCTGAGCAGCGAAGCTGGGCAGAGATGAGCAGCAGCTGCTCCTTGGGACAGGGCATGGCCACTCTGGCTTGTCCCAGTCCCTGCGGAGCAGACACTGTGGAAGCCCTGCCTCACACCCTGTCACCCCGCCTGAGCGCACCTGTTGCTGCAGCGCTCCTGCCTGTGTGCTGACAGCTTCCCACCACCAGTGCCCGCAGCTCTCTGCTTCTTTGCCAGAAGACTTCCTCTGGCACTAGCTGGCATTCAGGACAGCCCAGAAGTGCTAGAGATTTAAAGCCCTCAAAGAAATTCTTGACTCATACAAGAGTCAATGGATTAAAAACCACCCACTTCCCTGCCCTCACAGGTACAATTCTGAGACACAGTCCACATGATTATTCAGAGTCCCCAGTGGCACCGAGTTCCGGGGCCCACAGTGGCAGTCCACTCATTAATGTATCCTTTATTGCCTTTCCCCGCCTCTGCCTCATTCCCCCCACCCTTCACTTGTGCTTATTGGAATCACATTCCAATGAAATTATCTGCTCCCAAGTCCTTGTCTCAGAATTCACTCAAACTCAGACACCCCACCAGTCTCACTTCATAGTTCTTACTTCGCCTGCCTGGCTCCACCAGCACTGCCGTCAGAGCCATCCCTCTGATGGAAAGCTGCAGGACAGAACCCCCACCCATGGGCCTCCCAACATCCTCGGGACAGGGCAGACTCACCTCCCCCGAGTAACTGTACTTGCCCCTGAGGATCTGCCGGTACAGTCGGGTGCGGTTGTCATCTTCAAAGGGCATGGTGCCACTGAGCAGGATGTAGGCGATGACACCCAGCGCCCACATGTCCACTGAGTTGGTGTAGGGCTTTCGGACCAGGACCTCAGGGGCAATGTACTCAGGCGTGCCGCAGGTGGTCTTCATCAGGCAGTCGTCACCCTTCTTGCGAGCACTGGCCAGGCCGAAGTCGGTGATGATGATTTTGGAGTCCGTGCCTGGGTGGTAGTAGAGCAGGTTCTCAGGCTTGAGGTCTCGGTGTGTGATGCCCAGCGCATGCAGATACCGGACGCCATCCAGCACCATCTGCAGCACCCGTGTGGCATCACGCTCGGTGAAAGAACCCTTGGCAATGATGCGGTCAAAGAGCTCTCCACCAGTGGCCAGCTCCATCACCATGTACACACGCTCCTGAGTCTCAAACACCTCCACCAGCTGGATGATGTTGGCGTGGCGCACCCGACGCAGCACACGGAGCTCTGACTCACACACTTCCCGCCCCTCCCGGTACTTGGTCTCTATCATCTTGATGGCATATGGCTGCCGGGTTGCCCGGTGCTCCACACGTACCACTCGGCTGAAGCTGCCTCGGCCAATTAAGGCTTTGATGTCATACTTGGCTGTCACACGTGGGTCGAACTTGGCCCTGTACTTAGCCACCCTGGCCCTGCGTGGTGGTTCTGAGGGAGGCTCTGTGTGGCCAGTAGTGGGAGCACCAGGACAGGAGTTTGCACACTGACTGGCTGCCGGGAGCCCAGCTTTGAGAGGGCCAACGCTGTCCACCTCCGTGATGAAGTGCTTATACACATCGCTCTTGGTGCCACTGAAGGGCTCCACCTTCTTCACCAGATCCAGCTGGACATCCTTTGGCGGCTCAGGAAGGACCTTGCTTGTCCCACAGCCCATCACGGACACGGGGGCATCCTCTCCAGCGAGGCTGGCAGGACCTGCTCTGCAGGCAGCGCCTCGTCTACACCTATGCAGACAGAAGAGAGGACAACTCAGCATAGCTGGGGACACCTCTGAAGGAATACCAGCCACCCTACTCCTCCTTGTCCCTCAACAGTCCTAGCCTGAAGACCTGGCTCTAATATGGTTTCCTGGAAGGGAAGATGGCTTTGGTCCCTGAGCGCTCCGAGCCCAGGCTCAGTGGGGAGTCCAGATGAAAAGACTGGATCTGAGCATCACGGTCTTGGCTTCCATCTCCGTGGATCTTACTCTCATGCTGCTTTTCAACCCTGAGACAGGGCAGGAACATGCACCAGGCTCAGCTGTTACTGCCCCCACCTTCCTCCCTACCCTGCCTGAGTGCCTTATTCTAGTTCAAGCTCTATGTTTTTTAAATGTTAAAGTCATCCACCCTAGCTGGTATAGCTCAGTGGGCTGAGCATGGGCCTGCAAATCAAAGGGCCGTTGGATCGATTCCTAGTCAGGGCACATGCCTGGGTTGCAGGCCAGGTCCCCAGTAGGGAGCGTGAGAGAGGCAACCACACATTGATGTTTCTCTCCCTCTATTTCTCCCTCCCTTCCCCTCTCTCTAAAAATAAATAAATAAAGTATTTTAAATGTTAAAATCGTCCTCTTATTACTCTGACTCATCTTTCCTGCAATGGGGGTGTAGAGTGTTGGAGGCCTGCTCTCCAACACTATCACTCACCAGGCCTCAGAGCGCTGCTTCTCCAAGGCCTCCCTCATGTGTACCTTTCCTGGCCCTCTGTGCCTCCTTCAGGCACTGATCCCTCTGCACCCACCTCTTCCCTGGGCCTCTGCCCTGACCTCACCCTTTCCCAAACAGCTCCCACTGCTTTGCTAACATACCAACTTCACCCTGACAGCACTAACACTCTGTTTCAGGGTCTTTCACATCCCCAGTTGCCACGTACGTACATAGCTAAAATGCTACCTAAGTCCCAGAGCTAGCTGAAAAAAATTCCAGTGAACTTGGGACCACAAGCCTTAGCACAATGCCACCAGGTAGCCACCAAACTAGGCATCATTCAAGAGGCGGAGGGAGCCTTAAGCTCAGAAAGGACAATAGCAACCCCACCCAAATGCGACTCAGGGTGTGGATCAGGGTGCTCTTCTTCCTTGGGATGAAGATCTAGGAGCCTTTCCCATTTGCTTCTCAGACAGAGATGTTCCAATCCCTTAATACCATGCAGCTGGCGGGACGCTGGACAAGGTGAAGTGTGGAAGTACTGCTTTCCAGAGGACCCTTCTACCCAGGCTGCGCCTCTCTAAGTCTATGTGAGGGCACCGTGGGTGAAAAAGAGAGCCGAGAATTTCCTATTAATTATAACACAGAGAATTAAGGATAAAATGATCAGCTCAGATCACATATTTACTGAACATCTATTAGACATACAGGAATGAAGACATCCAAAGGAGGTTATATTTCAGCACACACACACACACACACAAGCAAAACATAGTCAGTCAACTCATAGTCTAAGTGAAAAGCATAAAAACATAATTTCAGTATCAAATGGTGTTAGGCTGGAGAAACAATAGTAAATATATGTAGAATTATGCAGGGGTTAGGGAAAGATTCCTGAAGGAGGTGACCCCCACACTGAATTTTAAGTAGGAACGAGTCAGGTGAGGAAAGGTAGGAGTGGTGTTTCAGGCAGAGAACTGTCCAGAGACCCAGAGTAGCACCCTGTGCCTGGAAACAGGCACTTTGGTAGAATAAAAACAGACTTTGCAGGGGATGTGGGGCATTAAGATTTGAAAGGTAAACAGGAACCAGGTTGTGGAGAGTAGCACAAGTTATGGTGAGGAGCCAGGACCTTTCTGGAAGGTGAGGGGAAGCTATCAAAGGGTTTACAAAGAGTGGTGCTCAATCTGTATTTAGAAAGAAGTGTGAGGCTGGCCCAGGCTAGTATGGCTCAGTGGGTTGGGCATCATCCCACAGACCAAAGGGTCACCATTTGATTCCCAGTTACAGCAAGTGCCTGGGTTGTGGACCGGGTCCCAGGTTGGGTGAGTACAAGGGGCAAATGATGGATGTTTCTCTCTCTCTTTCTCCCTCCCTTTCCCTCTTCCTAAAAATAAAGAAAAAATCAAAGAAGAAAGAAGAAGGAAGGAAAGCAGGCAGGCAAGCTGGCTAAATTGGAGCAGGGTCAAGCTGGACTAAAAGGGCCAGTGAGGGAGTAGTGGCTCAGGCAGTGGGGTGGAATGCAGAGATGTCAGCAAGAAAACTGATCAGGACTGGAGGCTGGACATAAGGGCAGAAAGCGTGCAGTGAGGGCAGCACTCCAGCCCCTTACTCAGGCTCCCAGGCAAAAGGGTTAGGAGTACAGCAAAAGGGACAGGTTCAGAAAGCAGTGAGTGGAAGAGTTCAGTTTTGGCATGTGGAACATTTACGTGACATTACATGCAGGTTGCTAGATGCAGAATCTAATATTTGAAAAGAGCTGGTCAGGCTCAGAGATTCCATAGTTGCCCAAGGGCGGTGCTTGGTGCCAAGGGGCAACATCTAATAATCACCCGGACCTTCTTGCAAAGCTAGCAAAATACCCCATTAAAGGCAGCAGAAAGAGACCTAGGTAGGTTTTGCTGCAGCACTTTGGAGGTCAGGGAGAAGACACAGAGGCCATTAGGTTCCACTGAGCAGAGGGCCTGAATTCAAGGTGATGATACTGACCGATGCAGCCAATTTCTTACAAGGAACAAACTCATCTCAGAAATATACCTAAAACCTTGATTGCCAACCCATCAGATAAAAAGGAGGAATTTAGAGACCACACATTAAGGGCTACAGGTTTTTAATCAGTATGTTAAATCAGTATGTTTAAATCAATATGACTCTCAGCGGTATGAGGTTTATCTTCCCTCACGAGATGAAAAGATTCCTCCACCAAAACAAGGCTCTTCAGGATTTACTACGATTCTCACCCAAATGCCCAGAAGATCCCACACAGGAGTTTAGGAAATTATATTTAAACAAAGGCATTTAGAAACAAGGTTCCTTGTCACAGAGACAGATTAGAACTATGAACTCTGGAATTTTGCAAACTCATCTCTTCCGTCAGGGAAAACACAAGACCTCAATGCAGTAAAGGGCTACAGCTCAGAGAAAGGAGAGCTCGTGGGCCAGGATTCCTGAGGCAGATCGCAGGCCCCTGATCCCCAAGAGCACATGGTAAGCAACGCCTACCACCACCCAGAGAAAAGACAAACTGCATGGGTGACCCAGCCCAGCCACTCAGTTGTCACTCCTTCCTGGTGAGGAGGCAGAACCCTAGATACACAAAATAAATATCTCCAGGCACGCACACTGGCTCTTTTTGTTTAAATGTGCATACCTAGTCGAGTCCTGATGAAAAACACTAAGGTTTACAAAAGAAAAATCCTGCCCTGGCTGGTGTGGCTCAACGGATTGAGTGTCAGCCTGAGACCCACGGATCGCTGGTTCAATTCCCTGTCAGGGGCAAATGCCTGGGTTGTGGGCCAGGATCCCCAGTTGGCAGTGTGCAAGAGACAACCAATCACTGTATCTCTCACACACTGATGTTTCTCTCCCTTTCTCCTTCCCTCTGGAAATAAAATAGAATCTTAAAAAGAAAGAAAGAATGTCCTGGATGGCGTAGCTCAGTGGATTATGTGTGGACTGCGAATCAGGCATCGCAGGTTCGATTCCCAGTCAGGGCACATACCTGGGATGCAGGCCATGGCCCCCAGCAACTTCACATTGATGTTTCTCTGTTTCTCTCTCTCTCTCTCTCTCTCTCTCTCTCTCTCTCTCTCTCTCTCTCTCTCCCCCCTCTCTCCCTCCCTTCCCTCTCTAAAATAAATAAAATCTTAGAAAGAGGCAAGACTGTTACATAATGGGTGTGCAATGGGTGTGAGTATTTAACACTACTGTTTTCAGTAATGCTCTACAGAAATGACAGGCTACCCTGGCTGGTGTAGGCTACCCTGGCTGCTGTGGCTTGATGGATTGACCACTGGCCTGCAAACCAAAAGGTCACTGGGCTGATTCCAACTCAGGGCACATGCCTGGGTTTCAGGGCAGAAACTTGTCCCAAACCACTTAAATAGTGACGGGCAGGCATGGACCCAGATCTCACAGTTTTTCTATCCAGAGCTCAGAGCTTCCATTATGTAGAAAAGACTCTGGAAGAACCAGAGCTGGGCCTAACCAGGTCAGGGCCTCAATCTTCCTTCACACCACTCAGCTGGTGAGTCAACAAACCTTTTTTTGAAGGGTCTGCCTTCTGAAGCCTCCACGCCAAGTACAATCTGGGTCACACTGCTCACTGCTGTACTTTGTGCTTTATTTTATTTATTATTTTATCATATTTTTTCCACTATCATTTATCCTCCCAATATTCTCTTCCACGCCCACTCACCCCCACTGCTGCACTCTTGACTGCCTCTGATCACTACAGCTGCCAGCCCCTTGAGGGAAGGGGCCACTTCTAGAACTCTCTGGCACCCAGCAAAACACTGAGCTCAGCTCAGGCATTCAGTGTTTGTTAACAATGAATGAAAGGTGGTCGGGCTCTCAGATTTCTATTTGTCATGAGGGAACAACCCCAGGACCTCAGAAATTTCAAGTGGCAGAAAGAGGCTAGATTGATGGCTAAACCAGAGCCATGGTCTCTGGGCACCTGTGTAAATGTGAACAACAAAGGAAGCCGGAACTCTCAGGTCTATTTGGGTCTTACAGATTGTTATCTGACCTCCAACGCTAGTGTGTCCACCAGCTGCCGGACCTCACCCCATCAGTCGGGGAGGCCAGGGGCCTAGGGGCAGGGGGTGAGGATGGATTCTGGAACAATTTCCTAAACACAGAAGCTAGGTCTGTGGATGTCTCCCAGACTGGGGCCCACAGACACCTAGCCCTCTCTGATAACATTCCTTAAGATTGTTCTTCACAGCAAAGCTTCACGACCTTTTACCTGCAAAGATTTCTATATTTTGCTCCCATGTTTTGAAGACTACCTACCAAAATGAAGTAGGCAGTGATCTCTCAGTAATCCCAGAAATAAGTAACTGCTAAACAGCATGTCTAAACATCACGAGGCAAGCAGAGATACACCAGGCAAAGTCGCCTGTCACTTTAGACAAAACCCCCGAACAAGGACATCTGCAGCCTCAGGGGGAACTATATGATTCTGCTCTCTAAAACAGGAAGTCTGACGTGGGATCAGCAACTGCATGTTCAGAACTAGTACTATGAAACCATTTCACAGAATGCAAAGATGTATTTGTACAAGAAAGTTTAAGCAGCACTCTTTATAAAAGGAAAACTGGAAACACCGCACACACCCATCAATAAGGAAATAATTAAATAAATTGAAATATATTCATATAACAGAATGAGCTGCAGCTATTGAAAAGAATGAGGTAAATCCATGTATACTGACAAAGAAAGACACCAGTTACTTAATTTTATTGAGAGGTTTCATACCAGGATCCATGTCTGTGATGTATTAAGTAGTTTAAAATAGTAATATAAAGCATACATCCCAAGAGGGGTTTTAAAAAGTTAGACATATACATGGAAAAAAAATATCCTGTAAGGGTAGAAGAGAAACTGTTGACAGTGATTACCTCTAGGTGCGGAAATGGGAGGGGAACAGGCAGAAGGAAGGCCGGGGGGCTTTTACTTCTCACTTTATATACTTCTGTGCTGTTGTTATGTTTTTAAATCATCACCACATATTATATTTTTAAGTTAACAAAAATATACACTGTAGAAATCTACAGACTAGTATATGCATAAGGGAAAAAAGCTGGAAGAACATACACCAAATTATCGGTGTTTTGTGTCTAAAGACACTTGCACTTATTCACTCGGTGATGTTTTAACTGTTACCATTATTTCATATGAAAATTGTTATGACTTCTTTTTAGAATAACTTGGGACCCGCTTCTCAAGGACATTGTAATAGTTGGTGAGCAGACTCCTCCTTATGACTAAGAGAAGGAGAGAAGCTCAAAAGTTTGTGTCCTCTCCATTTTATCGTGACCCCAGCTCCACCTCAGACATCCCACCTGCTGTCCCTCCCATTGTCAGAAATACAGACCCTGGCAATGTACCTGGGGTTCTCCTTCCAAAATCCCAAGGTCTGACCCACAAACATCTACTGAGCTCCAGTTGTGAGCCAGGAACTTTGCCAGAGGCTGTGCCAGACACAAAGAAAGTAGCCATGGTCTCTGCTCTCAAGGAACTTAAGCCCAGACAGTTCCACACCAAGAGTCCCTTAATCCATTACCCTTCAGATGTCCTGTGAGGCCACTTAAACACTACCAGCCTGAAAAGGGTCCCTCTGATATAACTTTCCCCGACAAACGAAAACATCACATTTTTCTACTTTAGCATCACATTAGACACCATGGCAACAGAGGGCTGTACCAAGAATTAGCTCAGGGATGACCTAGCCAACACAAATCAGCTTAATACTCACTGAACAAGATTCTTGGAAGGAAAAGAAGTTCAGGTAAGTACAGTAAGTCTCTCTCCAGCTTTCAACAAACAGAATTGGTTCCCTTCTCCCAGCTGTATTTCTCAAATTTTTCTCTGTGCGCCCTGTGGTCAATGGAGACAGATGTTCTCAGCTATCTCCCAGCTCAAGGGTCAGTGCTCTGGAACACCAACAGCCCATTCACATCATACAGTTGGGAAGCTCTGAAGAGGACTGAAGGTGCCCACATAACATGCTCACATTTACAGAGTAAAACAGAAGGCCAAATCAAAGTCTCATCCATTCACATGACCGACAAAGAACCCTCAGTATCTAGTTCAGATTCTATAGACACTAAGATCTGCAGGGGTATTCCAGTCCAGGTGAGGCAAGTCTAGCTCAATGCCAGAAGCAAACAGATTTCCTGAAAGCTGCACTTTCTCTAGCCCATTAATACAACTTAGCAAGTGCAAGAACTGCAATTAGACTTGGACAGTATGCTTATTTAGCAAACTCACCCTCTAGTGAGTCAGGATTCCTAGGGGAATGGCCAACTGCAACTGCCCTCCGTAGAAGCAGTTTTGTCAGAGTTTTCCCTGATTCCCTTGAGGAAATCACAACACAAGGCAGCCTCCTACATGGGGCCCAGTCCGAAGAGAAAACGGGCTTACTAAGATGAGATCTACTTATAACAAGGGACACATTCTGAGAACAGCCACTAGAAACACAGAGGCTCTCATCTGCTGAGTGGTTTATATGCACTCTTCTCTCTGCAACCACATAAAGGCATGATTATTCCTATTTTGGAATGAGCAAAGTAGGACTCCAAGAGCCTCAAGATCTCGTAACAGCCAAGAACTGACTCGCTGTCTTTCCGACACCAAAGCTCATGTCTTACCATCAGATCGTACTGCCTACCCAAGGTACGGGCAATAGGACTGCAAGGGGAGGCCGCAAGGCAGAGCTAGCCCTTCCCACTGGGCAAAGACGACACAACAGTTTCCTGGGGGCAGTGACAGAGATCTTCAACCAGGGAGCACAGTAAATGGGAGTTTTTTCAAAATACATATCGAGATTCCAGATCTTCTGAGTCAGTCTCAGGGAGTGAGGCTCTTGAATTTGTATCTTGAAAAACTACTTTAGACCATAAAGGCTGACACGGCCACACCACCCACCACACATGCAACATAAAACACAGGTTACCTGTGCTCATCTCAGATCCTGGGCCCTGATAGGTGCCCAACAATACAGCTGAATCCCTGTCCATTCTTAAACCAGCAATCTATCACAGTGCACATTTAGCTTCTACTTTATGCCAGGCAGAGCCAGACACTTGGGTGCAAATAAAAAACACTATCCCCAAACTCACCGCCATGCGACACAACATGATCTAGTTAACAGCAGTCTCATAAGTAAAAGTAGAGGACTGCTTGCTTGGGCAGCACATACATTAAAATTGGACTGGTACAGAGATTATTAGCATGGCCCCTGTGCAAGGATGTCATGTAAATTCGTGAAGTGTTCCATATTTTACAAAAAAGTACAGAGGAGTCATTGGTTATATGTGAAGCAAGGGAGGTTTTTCCAAGGAAATAAAATCTAAGGTGAATTTTAAAGGACAGATGTAAAATTTCCATATTGATGGGTGGAAAGGGAAAGAAGAGTATTTAAAAAATGAGAAAACTGCCTGGCTCGTGTGATTCAGTGGACTGAGCACTAGCCTGTGAACCAAAGAGTCGTGGGTTTGATTCCCAGTCAGGGCACATGCCTGAGTTGCAGGCCAAGTCCCCAGTGGGGAGGCTTGTGAGAGACAACCACACACTGATGCTTCTCTCCATCTCTTTCTCCCTCCCTCCCTCCCTCCCTCCCTCTCTAAAAATAAATAAAATACTTGTTTAAAAATGAGAAAACTGGGTATCTAAAGCACAAAGGTATCAAACCATGTGAGAAGGCTCACATGCCCAACAACAAAATATGTAAACAGAAGTCAAAATGCCCAGGTGTTGACTTCAGGGTTAGGCCTCTATCAGATTATGAAGAGTCCTGAATGCTTTATAATAAGCTTAGCCTATCGGCGCTAAGAAGCCAGTTTCAGGCAGTGAAAGACTTACTTAGCTGAGAATTACCACTTCGGCAGTCTCATTTAGTGGGAGTGAGCATGGACAGTTGGGCTTCCCCTTCTAAACAAAGGGATGACTGACTGGCTTGCAGGGCAGGCGACCTGGCTGGACTCAGGCCTGCTTTTTCCCAGACTGAATAACGAAGCGACCCGCCAGCCCGTGGCGTTCACTCGCAAAGGAGGGGTGTGGAGTAGGTGCTGGACACGAGAAGGGAGTGAGGACAGCCGAGTTAGTTCACCATGACCGACGCCGGCTTGGCTGAACAGCAGGCAGGGCAGCGGACCACGTCTACCAGGCCCACGAGGCCCCAGAGAAGCACTACCTAGCGCGGCAGCACGTTTCAAGGCCACTCCAGCCTCGGACACCGGGGACCCCGAGCAGCCATTGCATGGCCTGCTCCCCAGCCCCGTAGGCCCCGGCACACCTGCCACGGGCCGAGGGCTCCGGTCTGGGAAAGGACAGGCCCGGTGCGCTAGGAAGCGACCGTGGTCGCAACTCGTCAGCCCCTCCCGCCGGTTGGGCCGTAGCCCTGGGCCGGGCCGCCTCACCTCGCGGGGGCGGCGGGCTCTTCGGCGTCTTGGCGGCTGTGCTGACCCTCTCGGGGCCGTGGCCACGGCCGCGGCCGCCGCCGCCATCCTCAGGAGTTAGCGTCGTGGCGTCATCACCAAGCGCGTTTGACGCCAAAACAAACTGGGGCCGCCTACGGGGCGGGGCGGGGCAGGGCGGGGGCCGGCCCTCGGGAGGGCTGGGCGACGCGGTTGGGGGCGCTTCCAGCCTGGCTTGCCAATCAACGCCTTCAGGGCGGGGACGCGCGCTCTGGGGTTAGGGGGCGTCTAATTGTTGCTCAATTGTTGTTCGCCTGTAACCTGCGGAGGAACCTGTTCTAGAAAAAGAAGGTACACCTGAAACTAATATAAAATAACATAAAATGTCAACTATAACGGAAAAAGTAAAAAGATTAAATTTAAAGAAAAAGGAGGAACTGCGTAGAGAGAAGGTTCAAGTTTCTGATAAGCGGGAGAGGGTCCTCTGTCATACAAGGTTGAGGACATAAAGCCTGTCGACAGATTTCTGCCTCTGAAACTCCGCAGAAGTGCCTCTGAAACTCCGCAAAAGATCGATTTAAGTTTAATGAACAAATATATTTTTTGAAAACTGCAGTTAAAATAACTCAGTCACTCGGATGCATTAAATTTGACCTCCATCTCAGAGAAGTTAAAAATGGTACTTGAGGGATTGGTGGTCAGTCTTGGGCAATTTAGGAATAACATGTATTTGTTGTAACTGAATTTAGGTGTAGCCGAAGACTGAAAAGCAAGTAGATTTTTTTAAAAAGAAAAAAGAAAAAGCTTGTTATTACTCACAATGACTTCTCTGTAAGATCAGCATTGTCTCACTACTTTACAGACCACCCAAATTGCAGGGGCAGAAAAACAGATGTTGCAGATAATAAGAGGATTGTAATCTCTCTCCATCTTCCTCACTTTGGTCTGTTCATTGATTCAACAAATTGTTACTGAATGAATACTTACTTGCACATAGAACTGTCTTTAATGGATTATATAAACTAGTGATTTCCTTTTTCTTTCTCTTTCTTTCCTTCTTTTTTATATTAAAATGGCTACACAAAAATATTTCTTTCATTGATTTTAGAGAGAGGAAGGAAAGGAAAGAGAAACCAATTTTTGTTGTTCCACTTATTTATGTATTTATTGGTTGATTCTTGTATGTACCCAGACTGGAGATCAAAGCCAAAACCTTGGTGCATCGGGAAAAAGTTCTAACCAGGTGAGCTACCAGGCCAGAGCGAGCCAGCGATTTTCAACCTGTGTGCCACAGCAGGTACACTGGTGCCACAAGAATTTTTTTTTTTGAAGATTTTACTCATTTTTTAGAAAGAGGGGAAGGGAGGTAGAAAGAGGGAGAGAAACATGACATGTGAGAGCTACATCTACTGGTTGCCTCTTGCACGATCCCAACTGGGGACCTAGCCAGCAACCCAGGCATGTGCCCTGACCCAGAAATGAATCAGTGATGTTTTGGTTCATAGGCTGGCACTTAATGCACTGAGCCTCACCAACCAGGGCTCACAGGCATTTTTAAAACATGCAATACATGACCTCTTTTCCCTTAGATTATCAATTTAAAATATGACAATAGCCAACACAACAATAGCTGTCTGGTGTGAATGAATCAAAATTATACCTAATTTTTTGGTCATATCATTAAAAATGTATTTTTGGTGTGCCATAGAATTTTAGTAATTAGTTTATGTTGCCATGAGATGAAAACAGTTGAAAAATCGCTGATATACACTAATGTTATACTTTAATCCTAAAAATAACACCAATAAACATCATTTTGTCTGTTTTATTTAGTAGGGAATTATAAAGGTTTTTTTTAAAGAAAGAAAAACTTTAGAAATTGCTTTTAAAAGTCTAGTGTGATGAGGATGGGCATAGGTGTGGGGGCCAAAGAAACCTGGGATCATATCCCAGGTCTGACACTTCCATAGCTGTGTGACCTCAGGCAAGACATCTCCCTTAAGCCTCATTTTTTCTTATCTGTGTAATGAGGATCATGATCCTAACCCCACAGAGTTGTTGTGAGGGTTAAGGCAACATGGAAAATCAGGGTTAATGGGGCTTAGAAATCCATACAACACTGCCCTTTTACAGAGACTCAGCAACTTAGTTCAACAGTTTATTGAGGCCTTTCTGTGCACAGGTGCTGACCTTGGCTCTGGTAAAGAACATGAGGTGAAGAAGCATATTGATGCAGAGGGGACCAGGCTCAGCACATCCAGCCCCCAGAATCTCCCCTGAACAATAAGCTGTTCCATGTTTGCAGAGCCGCAAATGTGAGAAACACCATCCCCATGATGCTCTGGCCTGGGCAGCTGTGTCCAGGGCCCAGTCAGTTTGGCTCTCAGCTTACCACTGTCCCCCAGCTTTAGGATCAAATGCATAAAGCTTTTAAGCCCCTGGCCAGAGAGCAGATTCTGTCCCCACCCCCAACCCCATACACATATACCAAGTCACTCAATTCCAGGGAAGAGCAAGGATTTAGGGAGCAAACATCAGGGGAAAGTAGGTCACAGCAGGAGGATGGTAATCTCCCCACCATGGCTGGCCCCTGCTACTTGAAGTAGGCTGCTCTTGGCCACCCCTGAAGAGTGGCTCTGGGAAGACTTTTGGTCTGGAGCCCCAGCACCATCACTCCCAACAGTGTGCCCAGGCAGAGGGGGCTGCCCCAAGATAATACATCCTCCACACTGGGGTCATTCTCAGCCAGGCTCTTGCTGACTGTAACATTTCTATTCTGGACTTAGATATTCTATCAGGTACACTTTTTGAACCCAGAAAATACAGTCTTTGTACATTCTTTGTGTGCTAGAGACACAAAGAAGACCCTTGGGGAGTCCACAGATGGGAATTATGACCTGGACCTAGGCAGTAACAATGCTAGTGCTATCTGTATTGAGACAGAAGAGAGCCCAGAGCTGTGTGGACCTGTAGGAGGCTGCTGATTCAGCTTGGAGTCGGGGTTAGGGAATATTTCCTGGAGGAGGTGGTGCTGAACAAGAAAGGAGTTTCCATCAGGAGAAAATGGGGAGGGGTATCCTGAGCACAGAGAACAGATGTACAAAGACTCAGAGGAATAAAAGCATGGCCTTTCCTACTGGAAAATTCTGATGGTCAAAGGAGGGCAGATCCGGGAGGGTTGTTTTTCTGAACTTTCTCAGGTTATGAGAAAAGATGGGTAATGCTGGCTGGGGGAGAGAGAAGCGGGAATAAAAAGACAGGCAAATGAAGCACAGGGGCAAAGACACAGCAGAAAGGGAGTTAATGGAGGCATCTGACCTAATTGAAATGGGAGGGTGTTTGGGAAGCATGGATTCGGTACAGCTCCTACACACGTGGGTGAAGGTCTCTGGAAGCACTTGTCACCCTGGAGCTTCTGCGAGGGTCCTGTCAGGCCAGATTCTGCCCTGGGACACAGCCTCCCAGCATGGGCCATAGTGTCAATCTGGCCTGCGTAGACCTCGGCTCCCACCCCTCTCTCCCTCTCTCCCTACCTATTCCTTTGGGCCCCTCTCACAAAACCCTCTCCATCGCAGCCCCACCTTTCCCCAACCACTTGTGAGTCTCCATCCTTACCTCCTATCGCCCAGAGCATGCTTCTGCCCCGGCCCCAAGGCCTAGATAGGTGGATCACTCCTCTCCTCTGTGCTGCTACAGAGGGGAGTTGCAGGAGCAGACTGAATAAACTAGGCTGAGCTGACTTATGTAGGGCCTCCTAGACCATGAGAAGGAGCTTAATAGCAGGATCAGTTTTTCAATACAGAAAATGGAGAATGAAGGGGAGGGAGTGCGATTAGAAGGCAATGAGGAGGCCATGACAGTGCCCACTGTGGGCGGTAGCTAGGAATAGGGTCCTGGTGCTGGTGGCAGAAGCCTGATCAGAAGATGAGCTCACCCTCTCTGAGACTCCTCCTTTCCTTGGGATCTGCCCAGGCTGAATCTTGCTCTTCCTCTCCTCCGGGATGGATGGGGCACCTCATACCACACACCCATTCCGTGTTTCCAGAATGTCTTCTGGGATTGTTTTGACTTCACACTGCAGACCTCTTCTCAGTGAACAAGCTTGTGGGGAGCAGAGGACAGTGGGACCCTCATTGTGACCCCAGTATCTGCAGCTCCAGGTCACATCAGGGACCTGAATGTAGACTCCAACAGGGGCTCCCCACCTTCTGGAACAGGCTCCCCTCAGATGGACCAGGACCCCAGAGAAGGAGAGGACTGAGCACTTAGTCTGAGCTGTCTTAAAGGCTAAGGTGGTAGTTCAGCAGGGGAGGTGAGACCGTCAGGATCCTGGAGGCTAGAATGAACCTGGGGAATGAGGGTGGCCATAGTGGAGAGCAGGGTGAGAGACTCCACCACCTCACAAGGCCCCGAGGGGCCAGGCAGGGCTAGGAATACCAACCAGGGAGGACAGACCACTAGAGCTCTCGGAACCTACACGCAATGGAAAGCTCAGCACTGCCCTTGGGAAATGAGTGTTTGTAAGGAGAAAGATGGAGTCCCCTGTGGCAGCCTTAGGCCCTGCCCATTCTGTCTTAGGGAATCAGCTTTGGGAGGCCTCCATCTGAGTCAAGCAGTGAGCGGCCGGAAGAAAGGAAGCAGCTTAGTACAAATATAAATACTTTTAATGAAAGCTGAACGCACTCTGCAGAGCCCGGAGGGCAAGCCACCGGGGCAGGGGTGGCGGCAGGGGCACTGCTACCCAACCCCAATGGCTAGGCCAGGAACCCCAGGAGGCAAACAAATGCCAGAGCAGACCCCAGCAGCAAGGGAGCAGGGGCTGGGGTGGTGGCAGGTGCTGTCGCCCTCAGTGTCTCCTGGTTGACCTCGGGACCTGTGCCATGCTCCAGGACATGCACAGGGGCGCCACACAGGGTGTGCAAGTTATCTGGGTGCTGGACCCTGCGAGCTTCTTGCTGTAGGGATTCCCACACAGCAGCGGCCTCCTTTGGGCAGCCTGACAGGACTCGAGAGGCGCAGGTGTGGAAGTCATTCCAAGACCTGTTAAGGGTGTGGGGTTAAGGGAATTAGGAGGGGCAAAGAGGCTTTGGAATGGGAAGAGGTTCAGGGATAGAGGGTAACAGTGGGGGGGTGGGGGTGAGGGTCATACTGCTGCCCTTGTACCTGCTCTTACCTGCAAATGGTCTCCAGCTGACCTCCTTGGCCCATGCCGTCCCCCAAGCGGATGAGACACTCAGCGAAGCCCTGATATATGTTTTCACAGTGGTCTGGGCCCCCAGCAGCTGCCTCCAGGGGAGATACAGGGACTGGGGTGGGGGGTGGAAAATAGTTAATAGGATGAGCTTGCCCAATCCCCAGGGGCTTGTTTACCCTGGCATGCTCTGGGGACGTGACTCAGCGTGAATGAAGTACCCCAGGGAAATAAAGGGTACATCTGGGGATCACCTGCCTGGTCCCTGTGCTAGGTGGGACTGAATAGAGTAAGTGTGGAGCAGGGTGCAGTAGGTGTCCTCAAGTTCCAGGGGTCAGCTCTTCCTCTGAGCTTCTGAGACCTCTGCAGACCCAAATCGGATGAAAATGGTCCAAGTGAAGGAGCCAGGACAGGGCAAAGTGGGGCAGGTTCCAGGAACACACTCCCCCTCCTTAGCACCGTATCCAGGCTCTGTAGTCTAAATAAGCTTTGCTTCACCTTTGCACCCCATCCCAAAGCAGGTATTATCAGATGGCTGGGGCAGGATACAGGGTGTCAGGATCCAGGTCAGACCCTAACGGGACCTCAGGGAATCCCAAGACTGATCTAGGAGTCTCTCTCCTCAAAGGCCAAGTCTTCCTTTATCAGAATGGGGGCTGCAAAATTTTGAGGTCCTTCCCCCACAACCAGGGCTCAGTTCACACCCCCCTCTTTTCAGTTCTGAAGCCACTGGTATACATTATCCCCTCCCTGGAGCCCTTGCACCTACCTGCCATCCTGGCTCCCAGTGCTCGGCAAGGCTGTGCCTCAGCTCCCACACACCCAACCCAGCCTGGTGAGAGGCTGTATGGCCCAGGCTGGTCCCATACACCTGCAACTCACCTAATGGTAGTAACAGCAGCAGCAGCAACAGCCCCACCGCACAGGGCAGTTGCTGGCAGGGGCAACAGCAGCAGCAGGAGCAGCAGCGCATCATCCCCGCCTGGGAGCCTAGTGCCAGAGAGCTAACAGCCTTAAGTGCAGCCCTTCAGCCCAGCCCCCGAAAGGAGGGACTGTGATTGGATGGGAGCTGGAGGCGGGGCTTCAAGGCCAGCAGGCAGCCACCACCAGTACTCAAATAGGCAAAGGAAAGGAAGCTCACAGAGAGGAGTCAGGGTCCTGCTGAGCCCTGGGCCCTGGACTCTCACTCCAAAGATGGAGAGGGATCTAGGAAGGCAGTTGTGCAGGTGAATGTAGGTGTCCAGGCCTCTGGGTTGGCCTTGACAGAGCTCCAAAGGGGGAGATGACAGAGGCCAGGGAACAGAGGGCAGTTATCAAAGTCACACCAAAGACACACTAAAAGCACACATACTCCATTTTATTCCAAAAGCATTTAATTAAGTTTCTCAATGTTTTTCAAAACAAAAAAGGTCCAAAACAGAGGTAAAAAGAAATATGGAAAATTCAACTCAAGTGGTGTCACAATCTCGGGGGTCATGCTCCAGGCATGGCAGAACCCAAGAAGGCACAATAGCCGCCCTGGGCCCAGCCTAAACCTGCTGGTTACCATAACCACAACCAGTGCTCCTCCCGAAACACCCCAGAGGTGGAAGCCTGAGCAGGTAACAGGTGGACATGACCCTGCTTTGGCCTAGGCCTGTCTACTGGCCTTCAGTGCCACCCCACCCCTGGGCAAGGCAGGCTTAGCTAAGGGAGGCTGGGGGTCACAAGGCCATGCAGCATGAGGCTGAGACGCCGGGCTGCTTTGCCAAGTGAGTTGTGTGGTTCGGCCTGCAGGAACTGGAAGAGCTTCTGGCGCACCTGGGCCATGACGGAGCCCATGTGGTCCCGAGTGATAGGGTCACTGTGGTCCAGGTGCATCACAGCGTCTTCTAGGTAGCTGGGGGTAGGAGGAAAGGGACAGGCTACAGGTGGGTTCCAGCAGATGGGAGCGCCCCCTGGTGGAACCGAGGCCCAGAGGAACAGCTGACAAAGGAGGCCTCTGAGCCTGAGATGGGTGGGGGACAAAGGGAACTGGTGGAAAGCATTAGGGAGGGAGTAAGGCTAGGGTGGGAGTATTTGCTTTGAACTGCTCCCCTACCTCTGCCCCAGCCCATCTCCTGGTGCAACTGTACCCACTCACCTGAGCTTGAGGTCAGTTCGAGTGCCAAGGTCAGAGGCCAGCTGCTGGATGAGGGAAAGGAGCACGGGCTGGGAGAGTGGGCAGGGTGGCTGCCCAAAAACCTGGCCTGGATCCACAGTTTCACACACGTATAGCACCAGGTTCAGGTCGGCAGCTGTCAGGGCCTGGGTAGAGGATAGCATTTAGTGTGTGGATTTCGTCGGGAGGCACCTGAGTCTTAACTGGGCCTGGCATACCTGCTGGAAGGCCTGATTGAGGTGGCCCTGCTGCAGCAGCTGCAGGATATGGGCTTGCTGGGCCTGGCAGTCCAGATGGGCAGCAGGGACAGGTGTGCCAGCAGCTGAGCGCATGGCTTGCATGATGCTAGAGGTGACAGCGGCCTGCTGCTCCTTGAGTGCCACACTCACCTCGCCCTTAACAATGCGTTGTACCTGTGCTAAAATGGACTCCTGCAGGCTGTGAAGGGAAACAAGGTAGACAAGGTACATGGGAAGTCTGGTATGGCCTTTTCCAAACCCACCACCTTGCCCAGTGTCCTGCCCACACACCTGCCCACTGCCAAGTGCAGTTGGTGCTGCACCTCGGCCCGAACACTGCTGGACACAGTGGCTGCCATCTGCTCAGTGGCACCCTGCAGCGTGCTGACCAGGCCCCGCAGCTGGGCCAACACAGGCTCCCGCGCCTCCTGCTCTCGTGCCTTCCGGCTCTTCATGTGGCTCTCTAGCTGTTGCAAGTCTGAAAGGTGACCATGGGGGCCATGAGAAGGGCGGTGAGGGAGAAGAGGACAGCCCCTCCACCTTGGAGTACAGGGCCCCACTCACATTCCTGTGTGCCCAGTCGGAAGCTATCGTTGATCTGCTGGAACATGGCCTGGCAGCTCTTCTCAAAGGCGGGCAGCACCACACTCTGGAAGGCTTCACGGTAGGCAGCCTGCATTGGCCCCTGTAATGTATCTGCAGCTGCTCGGGCAATGGCATCTGTCAAGTTCTGGGGGTAAAGGGAAGGGCCGAACCAAAAGCCTGAGTCTAAGCTGGCCTGACCAAGCACACCAACCACCAACCTCCCTCATCTTTGGCCCTATAGCACCTTGGATTTCAGCAGCTTGGAGATATTCTCTTTCATGCTACCTTCCACAGCTGTGAGCTTGGTGGACACTGAGGTGCTCAATTGGCCTGCCACAGGCTCTAGACTCCTAGAGACACCTGGGGCAAGGTGAGGAGGGAGAGGTGGAGCCATTAGAGGAAGCTTGACAGGTAGGGGCCCCATTCTCACCCAGCCCACCCAGAGAAGTCTCACACAAAACTCACATGGAGGCACTGTCTTCTTGATCTCGTCCCGTATGCTGCGCTCCAGCCGCCCAGCCACAGCTGAAGACAGTGCCTGGGACAGCTGCTGTGTCAGCTGTTCCTGCAGCTGACCACCCCGTTGCTGCCCCTCGGCCAGTGCCCGTTCTAGTCGCCGCTCTGTGTGGTAGCTAAGGAACAGGCCTGGAGCAGGTCCCATGTCCCTTCTCAGTCCAAGAATGCTGCAGCTGCCCCTTGCCCTCCTTCCATGCTGGGCCACTGCCCACAAGGATACGCTCTTGTTCATGCCGAGACTCTAGGGCACGCTCTACGTGGCCCGTGACGGTGCTCTGCAAGCCTTCGAGCTGGCTGCACAGGCGCTGCAGCAGCTCTTCTTGGCTGTGCCGCAACTCCAACAGCTCTCTTTGCTGTTGCCAGATTAGTGCTGGCCAGTCCTCAGAGGGCTCTGCCACCTGCCAGTAGCACCGATAGTTGCATGATACCTGCCCTACCTGTCCCCACACACTAGACCAGGGAATGGCCCAGATCTCTTCCCCACCCTCCGAAAGGAGTCCTAAAAGTAGAAACGGTGTTTTCTCACTCACCTGGCGCTCCGTGAGCCGGGATTCCATGGCTGAATCCCTGCCATAGGCGAGAAGCACCTCAGGCCACGTCATGCAGGCAGCCTGGGGACCACCCCTCTCCCTGGTCCCAGGACCCCTCCTACCCATCATCTTTTTTGCTCTTCTTCTTGAGCTTGGGTGAGGTCCGAGGGGATCCCTTAGTCTTCCAGTCCTTGGCAGGCAGCCGTGGAGTGGGAACTTTGGTGCCAAAGCCCCCTGCAGCAGAGGCGAGGCTGGCCACCTCATCGTCGTGGTCACTGTGGGAAGGGGGAGAGGCATAAGCACTACCACTTGCTGCCCCGCCCTTGTGAGAGAGAGGGTGTAGGGCGGCATCTACCTTTGTTCAGCACTGGCGTCCTGGCTGTCATGTTGTTGCAGCAAGTGATAAGGTGGTCGGTGGAAGGCCAGGCTCTTGTGCTTTTCCTGTAGGCCATTCCTGGGGCTGGGAGGACAGGCTGACTCAGCAGTGAATGACTCCAGCTGAAGCCCCTACCATTGGGGCACTTTCCCCCTCCCACGCTCCTCACCTTTCTGTGAGGCTGCTGCACGTCTCCCGAGTAATATCTGGTGCTGTAGGCCAGACTTGGCTGTCAGGGGCTGTGGCCTCCTGGGTCAAGGCGGCCTCCAGGAGGGAAGGGGTACTATGCCGATCCCCGTCCCCAGGGCCTCCATCCAGGCTAAGCTGGGAGCCAAGCTCAGGCCCTGGTCGGGGCCGTGGGGACAGCAGGTGTAGTGCTGAGGCAGCTGAGGCCATACTGTTTGGCTCAAGGTCCTCAGGAGCAGAGGCAACAAAGCCACGGGACAGGGCCTCAGATGCGATCTCAGGGATGTCCTGGGACAGGGCAGTAGAAGCGGAGGAGATAACATCGGGGGAGCGCGTACGGCTGGGGGAAGCCTGGCGTAGCCCCAGGGTCTCCACTTCCTGCAGCTCCAGGGAGAGTGCAGAGGCAGCACTAGGTACCTGAGGTGGACCAAAACGGGGACTTAGGTGGAGGGAAGCAGGTGTGGGGGGAGCACAGAGACGAGGCACTGGTATTTGTAGTGATGAGAGATGCAACAGTGGGGAAAGGGGATGCAATAAAAAACAGCCACAGCTCAGGAGGAGAGGAGGTGGGAATGGACAGGCTGAGGAGCTGTCCTTCAGGGAACGTGGGAGGCTGAGATGACCTCAAGGGAAACATGGGCCACCACAGGCAGAACAGGACAAGCAGACAGGGTGCTAAAGAAGACTGCTGCCAACCTTCCCGCTGCTATAAGCCTGCTAACCTGCATTTCACACACACGCACCTGCCCGGGCCCTTTGGGAGTTAATTTGTCAGCTGCACCTGGGAGCAGGCCAGGCAGGAGGCTGCGTGGGCTTGCCTGCAGGCTGCTGCCACTGTTCATTGTCAGGCTGCCATCCAGCTGCAGCTTGGGGCTCAAGGTCAGCTCCTCAGGTGGCCTGGTGGCAAGAAGGTTGAGGTATAAGCAGTCAGAGCTTGGCATCACCTGGAACCAGCCCCTGCCAAACCCCAACTCTGATCCTTACTTCACCTGGGCAAGGGGGGGTCCACAGCTGAGGTACTACTCATGGCTGATACAGCTGTGAGAGAGGAGCTGGAGCTGGAGCTGCTGCTGCTGCTGCTGCTGCTACTACTACTAGGGGAGGCGGCAATCTGGGGAGATGCAGAGTAAGAGCTGTGGCATATGGGTAGGGATTCCCAGGTCCCCCTGCCCTGAGCCCCAGCCCCAGCACACCTGCTGCAAAGAGGTGCTAGGTGTCATGAAGGCGTCAGGTGTCATCAGCTTGGGCTTGGTCTCACTGCTCAGACTAAGGAAGTCAGCAGGAGCAGGTAACTCCACGATGCGTCGGACATCAGGCTGGGAGCCGTGAGTTGCTGAACCCAGACCCTCAGAGCCCAGTTCGGGCCGAGATTCTCCAAATGCTGTGGGGAAATCTGCCACTTCAGTCAGACTGCAGACC